CGGATCTCTGTGAGTTCGAGGCCAGCCTGGGCTACCAAGTGAGTTCCAGGAAAGGCGCAAAGCTACACAGAGAAACCCTGTCTCGAAAAACCAAAATAAATAAATAAATAAATAAAAATAAAAATAAAAACAAAAACAAAAACAAAACAAAACAACAACAACAAAAAAAAACTTAATGGTGAGCCGGGCAGTGGTGGTGCACGCCTTTAATCCCAGCACTCAGGAGGCAGAGTCAGGCTGATCTCTGTGAGTTTGAGGACAGCCTGGCCTACAGAGCGAGATCCAGGACAGACACTAAAACTAAACAGAGAAAAACCCTGTCTCAAAAAACAAAAAACAATAAACAAAAAGCAAAAACAGAAACAAAAACCAAACTTAATGGTGGAATAAAACTTCATTGTGCATATCAATCACATTTCTCTCTATATTAATCCATCAATGGGCACTTGCTAGTTTTGTAACTTGGCTATTGCTAATAGCCACAATAAACATGGAGCCAATTATAATTGGCTTTACCTCTTTTGGACATATGCCTAGAAATATAAATCTGGGCCGTATGAAAGTTTTTTGTGATTATTTTCCCCAAAAATTGCTATACTGAGTTCTATAGTGGCTAGAATAATTTATATCCCCACCAGGAATATATAAATATTTTATTCCCCCAGTTTCTTGCCAACATTTTTAAAAAATATTTCTTTATAATAATTAATTCTTTACTAAATTGGTTATGTTTACTACTTATTGAAGTGATTGAAAACCAAGATGCGGGGGCTTGGAGAGATGGCTCAAGTCATACATGCAAGCAAAACACCTGTATGCATAAAATTTATAAAAAGGGAAAAAACATAAAAAATTCTAAATGGCAAGCAAAGGCTAAAAATGAAAAGAAATCTTTTTTTTTTTGCATCTTTCCAAAATTGCTTTCCTTCAGAAAGCCACTTTTAAAAGCATCTGGCCTTAGTTCTTTCATAATCAATTCTATAGCTTTAAATAATATATTACTGTATGTTGATGTGTTTGTAGTAGTGACTGCCAAGCCTCTTGCTATCTGACTCTCATATTCTTAACAGTCATTAAAGATCCTAAAGAGCTTTTGTTCATATAGGCTTTATCTATTAATATTTACCAAATTAGAATTAGGGAAATTTTAAGATATTTCTACGATAATTTGTTTAAAAATAACAATACCAATTACCTGTGTATATAAATTGCATGCTTTTAATAAAAACTTTTTCTGAAAATTTAGTGAAAAGCTCAGTGTTTTATACTTTTGTCAATATCTGATTAGATTACCATATCTTCTTGAATTTGACACAGTAACACTGTGGTTGAAAAATATGACAAAAATGTGGCCTGACGTGGTGGGAGTGTAAACTAGTCCAGTCACTATAGAGAGCAGTATGGAAGTTCCAGGAAGTTAGAAACAAAACTTCCCTGGATCTAGGCCATACCATGACTGGGTTCCTAGGTAAAAGAAAGCTTACTATAAAGATGCCTGTATATCATGTTTATTATAGCACTAATCATAGTCACCAAATTATGGAATCAGTCATCAGTGGTGGAGTAGGTAAACAGTGGGATTTTCACATAATAAGCCTTATTAAGCCATAAAATGAAACAAAATCATGTTTTTAGGAAAATGGATTGAATTTGAGGTCATCATGTGAGTGAAATAAGTCAGTCACAAAGTCAGGTGCTGCCATTTTCTCTGACACAGGCGCTGGGTGCCAGAGTGGAAGGGACAGAAAAACCATTTAAATTGTATTTAGGGGATTTGGGGAAGAGAATGAGAAGAGAAGCTGTCATCATTGCCAGATATTAGGCTTACTTATGAGATGACTTTTATGGAAATAAATAATTCCTATTTTATGTGTTCATTTCATTTTAGCAAAAATCTATTTTTTTAAAGATTACTGAATGATAAAAATGAAGGTTTATATTGTTACTGTGATCTTATAAAACAGCTACAGAAAACTCAATGTATGGAATATTTTAATAGTAACCAATTTAAGATTTGTTCTCAAACTGTTACTTTCAACTCACATTTATATATATTTTATGTATAATTGTTTATGTTATTATGTAATACTCAGTTTTACTGTCCTTAGTCATTTACCAGGATCCAGTAAAGATCAATTATGAAGAGTTGTTTCTTCTTTGGCCCTTTATTCTATTGAACAATTCTCACCTTTTAGTTCTCTACAACAGTAAAGCATTGTGTATTCATGCATTGAAATCATGATAAAATTACATTTTTATCATTTGTTTTTCTATATTGTCAAAGTAAAAGTTGATGTTACTAATCTGCACAACTTCCTGGATGATATGGGTGTTGAGCTTTCTGGTGAAGAATATGATGACCTAGTAAACCATCTCCCTGTCCATGGTGAGCATTTCAATTATTGTGATGCCTTTCAAAAATGACTTTCAGAATTAGTTATAAGGAATATTGATAGCACACAACTATATTTAATATTTGTTTTATTGATTATTTGGTTACCTTCAAAGTATACAGACATGTCTGGTAGTAAAGGAGGGAATGTGTTTGTATATGTTTATTTATAATTTGGACATTTAAATAAATAATAAGCTCATTAAGTAGAAAGTACTTGGATCCTGGATGTTACAAGCTAACTCAGAAGCACCATTGAGGTCATTAGGAAGCCTAACATAAGCAGAGAAAAGAAGACGGAAGGACATAGAGATAGGTAGAGAAATGGAAAACAAGCTCCATTGAAGCTTTGTAGACAGGTTACTAAGAACAACTGTATTGTAGAATTTATGACATTTAAAATATTTAGGTTATATAGTCACAGCAGTAAATGAAATGTTCCTAGCACATGATGTATAATAGTCTAGATTTTAAAAGATTTATTTATTTATTTATTTATTTATTTATTTTGTATACAGTATTCTGCATGCATGTATGCCTGCTCACCAGAAGGTGGTACCAGATCTCATTACAGATGGTTGTGAGCCACCCTATGTTTGCTGGGAATTGAACTTAGGACCTCTGGAAGAGCAGCCAGGGCTCTTAATCTTTGAGCCATCTCTCCAGCCCCCCCCCCAGTCTAATTATTTTACTTATTTCAAGAGTAAAAAAGTAATGAGGTCTGTAATAAATATTAGTTATCCATACTCATCTATGTTGAATTAGCAGTGTCAAAGTAAGTGTAAAAGAAGTAGGTCTAATTCTTGTGATTTATTTTTAGTTTGCTCATTTATTCCATGGCTATGCTAGGAGCTATACTAGGCTCAAGAAACACAAGAAGAAATAAACTTACGTCTGCTAGCAAATAATGTATAATTTATTTGGAAGCAGAGTGGAAATATGAAGAAAATTACATAGTGAAGTTTGAAAAGTACCCCAATATTTTTTTGGAATGATGGTAAGGAAAGGGAAGTAGAAGGAAATACTGATTGCTTTCAGGTAATGGTAAGCAATTGAATCAGATGAGGAAGATTTTTTTTTTGCTTGTCTATTTTATCAAGTTAGAGCTACAGAAGTAGGCAAAGCTCTATCTCAGAAAGTCTGTACTTCATCCTGCAGGTCATAGTGTAGAAGAGCTGCCAAAGGTTTTCTTGGTTGTGAATGGCTTTATGTCTTGTCCTCTGTATTCGAAAAGTTACTGGACCAAGGACTATTGATTGTGATTTATGAACTATCTTAAATTCTAAGTACATTTTCACATACTTGTCAGAGTCAGATACCATGAAAGTATCTACACTATATTCACCTAAGTGTCTGTAGTGAACAAACATAAATATATGATAAATCTGCACAGTAGGCTACTATATTCAACCTTTGGGAAGGAACACATTCTGTCGTTTACAATAACATGATAGATCTGAAGGACAGCATTTACAAGGATATGAGCAGGCACAGAAAGACAAATACCACCTGATTTCACTTATGTGTGGAATCTTTGTGTGCGTATATGCATGTGTATGTATTTCTCCTGCATTTTCCTTCTATGTTTTTTCTATGTTTGTTTGCTTTATTTGGGTTTGTTTGTTTGTTTACTGGCCTGTTTGTTTTCTAAAAAGAAAAAGAAAGAAGACATGGAGTTGGATGGGTGGGGAGGTGGGAAAGATCTGAGAGGGGATGAGGGAGGGGAAACCATGCCCAAAATATTCTGGATGAAAAAAATTACTTTCAACAAAAGGGGCTTATTTCAGCTAAAAGAAGTTAAACTCGTAGAAAGAAATAGACAGCAAAATAATAGTTAACGATATACTCAACATGTACTAGGATGATAAACTTTAGAAATAACCTTCAATTTGGCAAGAAAAATTAATTCAGGAGATCTGCCATACCCATGGTAACCAAAATGAGTGACAGTGAATTAGGTTGCTAAGAGAGGGCCAGTGAGATGGCTCAGTGGGCAGTAGTAAATCACATGTTGCAGATTTGCTGTTTATACTGCCTTTGAGAAGTTACAGTGCTTTGCGTTTGAATTTCAGTCATCAGTACTGCTTTTGTTGAATCTTTGAATCTTTTCTCACAGCTGATAAGAAGATAAGTCAGCTTGAGCTGATAGATACTATCAAGACTCTTAAAAGTGAGTAATAGGCATGAAATTAAAATCTTAAGCCATTGTGATAATATTTTAATGCTTGAATGTTATCTGTGATTATAAACATGCATATTCATAATATACAAACTTAGAGATATGTAGAATAAATAAAAAGGACAAAAGAAAATCACTCAAACTTAAAAACCAAAGTAAAATATTACAATGTTCATCCTTCAGTACATTTTCTTTCAATCTCTTATATATTATGCATTGAAAATTTGACTGTGCGTTTTTTTCTTTTCATTCATACTATTTTGAGCTATAAAGTGATAACTATTTTATTGATGGATAGATAATTTATATCCATTGATATTGAGTATCTTCCGCAGCAGAGAATCTATACAACTGTAGCATTGAACATCTTCTAAGATCTTTTAAAAATCTATTTCTAAATCACATATTTACTCTGGCTTTCAGTTTTTTTAGACCTGCATAGAAATGTTAATCTCAGTCATCACATTATTTTAGTAGCTGAATAACCAATTGGAACTTCAGAAAAATTGATTGAATTAGAGGGGGCAAATACCATTTCTAGTTCAGTTAATAACCAGTGATCAAAATAATTGAATCATTTTCTTCATGATGTAATTTATTGGTAGGCAATTACAAATTTTAAAATTCACATTTTAAGACTTAGTTTTAGTCTTATCAGGTATAATTATGATCTTGAAGAGGATTAATGATATCTGGTCCTCTGTATGACTTGGACTTTTTTTTTTCAAGACAGGGTTTCTCTGTGAAGTTTTGGTGTCTGTCCTGGATCTCACTTTGTAGACCAGGCTGGGCTTGAACTCACAAAGATCCATCTGTCTCTGCCTCCTGAGTGCCGGGATTAAAGATGTGGGCCACCACCGCCTGGATAAAGGTTTATTTATTTATTATGTATACAATGTTCTGCCTGCATGTATGCCTGCAGGCCAGAAGAAGGCGCTAGATCTCATCACAGATGGTTGTGAGCCACCATGGGGTTGCTGGGAATTGAACTCAGGACCTCTGGAAGAGCAGTCGGTGCTCTTAACTGCTGAGCCGTCTCTGCAGGACATTTATTTTGTATCAACTTTGAAAAGCATTTCATTGGACAGCCTTGCTTTGTACTTTGAAACCAGGAAGCAAATGTTCAGAAATAGAATGTATGTTCCCAAACATTATATGTGTACCTGTATGCCCACCATTATGAATTCTGTAACAAATATTTGTCTCATTTTTCTTAAGGAGGAAAGGTTGACACCACAAAATTAGACAATGCCCTGGAGAAGATGGGAGTGGAACTCACAAACAAAGAATTGCAGCGTCTGCAAGAACATCTGCCAGTTGACAGTAAGAATTTCTGCTGTTGTGGATATTAGCCAAGGGAGTTAGACATATGTATGAGGAGTTGTGAAACTACATTTATTTCTCTGTATTGAAGCTTTGTGATGCATTCAGAAAGGTTAAGTCTTGAATTTGAATTTATCAAAGCATTGCCCTATCCATCTGAAGAGTTCAGATGATCCAGCAATGGACAAATATGTGTCTTGACACCATCCGGAGCTCTTGCCATCCTTAGAAAAGTACTTTGGAAATTGTTTGAATTAATGTGGCTTTAGGTTTCAAAGGTTAATTTTCATTCTTTCAGGCTTTAAAATATAGACATGAAAGGAGTTGGCGGGGGAAACTTGGGATGGGCAGAGAGAGGAAAGGGAAGGGGGCAATGATGTAATTGTATTTTAATTAAAATGTACAAAAATAAAAATATATAGATCAAGATGTGATATGGATTCATTAAAAAGTGTCTTATGATTCTGTGGTATAACTGGCAGGTGTCTTCACTGGGAGTGACTTAGCTTAGGAAAAGAAAACAGGTAAAGAAAAGGTGAGAACATTGGTAAATAGAAGGAGCGAGAAGAAAGCAAGAAGTGCTGGAGACAAGAAACAGAGTTGACCCACTGTTTCTAGACTGAGGCTCCTGGTAGGATCTGGTTCTTCTTCTATCATAGCAGTGGCCTGATGCAGAGTCAAACCTTAGTTTTATATATTTAAAGTATATTAGTGGATTTGCTAGGTAAGGCATTCTGTTTTCAAAATGATTTTTTCTTATAGCTGATGGAAAGGTACATCTAAGTACACTTCTGGATGAAATTGATCGTCTTAAAAAAGAAGGTGAGTGCAAAATTATGTCTAAAATAAGAAATCTTAATCTGTATTAATAAGCTGTGTAATAGATGTAATACACAGCACTTTGGTCTTTTGCACTTCGGAAAATAGTACTCATTACAGGTTTTTACTAGGAACCGAGAATTTGTTAACCATATAGACCATTTTCTGGATAGTATGTACAAAAAGATAATCCTACTCATGTAGCTAAAGTTTTAGTCTTGCATTGTTTACTTTCAGTTCGATAATTTATTCAGTCAGTCTTTAATGAGTCTTGAAGTTCTAGGTGCCTCTCTAGGTGTAAGGGATGCAGTATGGAATCAGATTATGTCCTTGTATTCATGGAACTTTCATTTCTTTGATAAGTGGGGCAGAAATGAACAGAAAAAGAATTTTTTTGGAAAGCAGTAATGCTATTAAAGAAAAAGGTGGCATGGTTGGCAGTAACAGAGAACTGGCTTTGCCTTAGACTTGGTAGTTATGCGATGCCTGGAGCGATGCTTGAGTTGAAGTTTGCAGCTGGCTTCCTTTTAGAACTTTGGCCAGGTAGATGTTTCATCAACATCAGTTGAATGGAATAAAGTTTCCGTCTGATTCTGGTATCAAATCTCATTTCTACTTGGATAAATTTTGAACATAGTAATGATGATGTATGGACATTGTTTTTAGACTATGGAGTTGTAATACATTTTTCAAAGTTCATTCTCTTTCTTAAGAGGAGAAGATTGATGTCAGTGACCTTGACACCATTTTGGAGAAAATGGGAATGGATTTCTCTGATGAAACATCTGGAGGAGTGGCACAGAATTGGCAAGGTAATGGTGAGCATGCTAGACACGCTCCTTAGAACACGGGATAGTGGGTTTCTGACCTCACACTCCTGAAATTTGAGCCTCCAAGGACAGTTGAATACATCTTAAGATAATCCTGCCTGAATAGATTCTCTCTAGCTGAAATAAGCCCCACTTTTATGGTATTTAGTGTAGTTTGTGTTTCTTGATCTAAAGCCAAAGACATAAAACCATGCACTTTATGCTGCATTTTGAAGAAGAAAATTACAAAATGTGTACAGGGGAGTGTCTGTCCTTTATGGTGCATTAGAGGTAAAAAAGTATGTATATAGGCAAAAGTACAAGTGAAAATAATTTGGGAGTTAGAAATATGAGAATAATAAAGGTCCTTGCTGAAGAATAAATGTGGCTATGATCAGTTTAAACAATACTGGTGTGGGGCTGTGGAGATTACTCAGTTGGCTAAGTGCTTACTATTCAAGCATGTGGACCTGAGGCCTGCATCTGTGATCTCGATGTGGGGATGTATAGACGGGAGAATCCAGCTAGCCAGTGGATAAGCTCTAGGTTCAGTGAAAGACTGTCTCAATAAATAAGATGGGGAAGGATCAAAGACAACATCAATATGCACACCAAGAGTACCCCATGTCCTTGTACACACACATGCACAAGCACGCAATACTGGTGGCAGATGGTGCTGCTTTTAGATGTTGCTCCAGATTGATTTGGTGGAATGGAACAAGGGCTGATTTGGGACTCTGAAAGTTTCTAATCTCATATGCTCTGTTCACAGTTAAAACTTTCACAAGGGTTGCAGATTTAGCTCAGTTGTAGATCACTTGCCTGGCAAACATAAGGCCCTGGGCTCTGTCCTCAGATGTGTGTGTGTGTGTGTGTGTGTGTGTGTGTGTGTGTGTGTGTGTGTGTGTGTGTAGTGGGGAGGTAATTTTACGGTTTGGGAAGCTCATTGTGGTCTTTGTGATGTGTACCTTGCCCTACGGTTGATGGGAAAGTTCAATTTAGTAACCTATGGAGTGATATTCTGCTGTTCCCAGGAAGAAGTTGATGAACTAATGCTTAAAAAAAATATTTTTAGACCCAGCACTCAGAGGCTGAAGCTGTAGGATTTATGGCACAAAGCCAAAGCTTTAAACTTTTCTGAGACTTAATTTTTTCCTACGTTAAAATCCCTCGCTTCACAGGTTGTGCAGTGCAGTGCTTGCATGTGTCTGTCAAACAGAAGGGTGGTGACCAGACACGGAGTCTGCTGGAAACTTGATCTTGGACCTCTTGTATCTGCAAACTGATTTTTTTTTTCATCAAAAATAAGTTTTTAATTTTTATGCACTTTTTAAAAACATGAATTTCTAGACATTTGTTAAATTTAATTTTCTTCCTTTCCTTGAGGTTAAAACAAATCAGATTAACGGGCTCAAGAGAAAAAAATCAAAATGATGAGTTTGGAGATTATGTTTTAATTTAAAATAATTTATTTTGTTATTTTTAAATTATGTGTATGCTTATGTGTGGGTTTGTGCATTGAGTACAGGTATCCACAAAGGCTGGAGGAGGGCATTGGATGCCCTGGAGCTGGAGTTACAGGTGATAGTGAACTGCTTGATGTGGGTGCTGGGAACTGAACTTCAGGCCTCTGCAAGAGCAGCAAGACCTCTTAACCATCTCTTTACTCCTGTCTTTAAATCATTTTCCTAATGCCTAATGTAGTTTAACATTGTAATGCTTCAAACGAAAGAATATGTGTGCTACTTTAAGAGAGCTCAGTTCTCACGTTTTTATGGTATGGGATGGAAATATAGAAATGTGACTATAATGAAAATCATGTTGGTTGCCTATATTGTTTCACAGTGAAGAATTTTGCATTGTTTGTGAATCTCACAGTGGTCTCTATGATTTGTACTTTGTTTCACAGTTCAACTTAGCCAACCGCTGGGTGCAGTTCCACGTGTTTCAGGTAAGAAGACCAGACAAAGTAGAGGAGATACTAATGCTTTGAAAATATGCTTTTGCCAAGCATGGTGGTGCATACCTATAATCCCAGGACTCAGGAGGCTGAGGCTAGGAGATTGAAAATTTGAAATTTTCTGGCACTTAGCTTTTGAATAAAAGTTATGTTTGTTGTTTGTATGTGTATGCACCTATGTGTTTATATGTGTGCATGTATGTGGATACATGTATCAGAGAGTGCATGTGGAAGTTAGAGGAAACTTTTGGGAGTTGGTTCTCTCCCTCTACTAAGAGATCTGGAGATCAAACTTAGATCATCAGCCTTGTGTAATGAACATTTTTACCCACTGAGCCTTCTCACTGGCCCAGGATTAACTTTATGTGTTAAAAGTTACCTGCCTAGAAATCTCTGGCCAGATGTGGTGAAGGCCCCTTCTCATTAATCATGTTTCCTCAGCCTCTGAATGTGCAGCTTGTGGACCAGTTAGGTGATGAGAGGGACTTTTGGAGAAGATGTGTAGTAGAATATTATTTTAAGGTTTGTTACTTTTGTTTATGTTGCATTTGTTTAACTCTGTGAAGCTGTGTTACTGTGCCTGTCTAAAACACCTGATGGTTGTAGACGAATTTCTAAATGATCTTATTAATAGAAAACATGGAGCCAGATATAGGGGAGAAAACCTGAGAGAGATCAGAGGAACAGGAACAGCCACATGCTAACCTCACCTCACTAACTCCACAGCTTCCAAAGGCGAGACTTCCTGTCTACCCACGCCTATATGCCTTGCTGTTCTGCCATCTAATTTACTCTCTCTGTCCAGCTACATCACTTCCTCTTCATGCCCAGCTCTGTCACTTCCTGTCTGTCTATACAGACCTCTACACCTCCATGGTTAACTAGTGTTGGAATTTAAGGTGTGTGCCACCACGCCTGGCTCAGTTCCCAAGTGTGGCCTTGAACTCACAGAGATCCAGACAGATCCCTGCCTGCCAAGTGATAGGATTAAAGGCATGTGCTACTATTATCTGACTTCTATGTTTACTAGGCTGGCTTTTTCCTCTGATCCTCAGGTAAATTTTATTGTGAGACACAGTATATTGGGGGACACAATACATCACCACAGGTGGTCTAATAAAGAACTGAACAGCCAATAACAAGGCAGGAGACAGAGATAGGTGGGGCTGGCAGGCAGAGAGAGAATATAGCAGGAGAAATCTGGGGAAAGGAGGAGGAAAAAAACGAGATGGAGGAGTGAAGAAGTAGTCAGAGAAGGAGGATGATTCCAGGGCTCAGCCACCCAGTAACACAGCAAGCCGCAGTAAGAGTAAGATTTATAGAAGTAAGAATGGGAAAAGCCCAGAGGCAAAAGGTAGATGGGTTAATATAAGTTAAGGAAAGCTGGCAAGAAATAAGCCAAGCTAAGGCTAGGCATTCGTAATTAAGAATTAGCCAACGTATGTGATTTATTTGGGAGCTGGGTGGAGGGCCTCCCAAAGAGCAAAAAACAAACAACAACAAAGATGTTTTTAAAAACCGTCAGCAATTTCAGAAGGAGGTGGTGCAACCACCCAGATTTATAGAGCCTGAATCCTCTGAGTATGAGGATGCTATGTGCTAAAAGACAATCATTGAGATGGAAGAGCATCGGCTGGGCCAGGTGGACCACAGCAATAAGGAGTCTCAATAACTAACTGGAGGAGCCAGAATTGGAGGAGCTGGAGGAGCCAGGGAGCCGGAGGAGCCCCTGGAGCCGGAGGAGTCAGAGGTGCTTACAATGAGCACCAAGTGATTCTGTAGGCAAGATCTGATGAACTTCCAAGAACACTGGAGAATGGAAGAACTGCACCACCAAGAGGTTCAAAATGAAGCAGCTGGCGCTCATGCAGGAGGAGCAGTGCAGGCACTGTGCGGAAGAAATTTAGTGGCAACAAATGGTCTGGTGCCCTGCAGGAAGAAGTTACCGGGACTTGCCCCAGTGTGAGAGCAAAAGATATGAAGATGGAACAAATAGCTATGGGAGGCACTATGATCTTAAACACGAGACCTCCCTGCTTGCTCCTGTGCTCTAGGATGTGCTCCAGCTCCTCCAGGACCAGCCACTCTGATGTCATATGGAACCTTGGGATTCATCCTACCAACCCCTGAATGTTTTGGCCAAGTTGTTAGAAGGGATTGGAGTAATTGATGGAAAGTACTACTGTATTCCTCAGTGCAGCTCCTGAAACTTGATTAGCCCCCAACAAATGCTGCCATCGCCAACCAAGGTGCAGTGTCTACTCTCCTACAACTAGAAGCCATCTATTTGGACTAGCCAGGATTCTACCCAGGAAGAGTGTTAGGAATTCCTCCCAATAGATGGTTCTTCCCTGTACTACTACTCTAGGGAATACATGTGGGAACTGATTCACAGGCTCTGAGAGGCAGTGCATGAACACCTGGTTTCTATTGCTGTGCTAAAACACCATGACTGAAAGCAACTTGGGAAGGAAACAGTCCCCTATTACTGTCGTTCATCAAAGGAAGTGAGGCCAGGAGCTCGAGTCAGAAGATGGGAGGCAGAAACTGGAGCAGAGGCCACCGAGGGGTGCTGCTTACTGGCTTGCTCCCCATAGCTTGCTCAACCTGCTTTCTTACACAATCCAAGACCAGCTGCCCAGGGGTGGCACCATCCACAATGAACTGGGCCCTCCCACATCAATCATTAATCAAGAAAAATGTTCCAAAGGCTTGCTAACAGGCCAATCTGTGGGGACATTTTCACAATTGAGAGTCCCTCTTCCCGAAAAACTAGCTTGTGTCAATAAAAATTTGACAAAAAACTACCCAGGACAACTCTTGTCAAATACAATGTTGGCACCAGACCCCGAGTCTTCAGGCACCTTGATCCTGGACATCCTATGTCCACAACTGATGTCTTGTTTGAACATAACTTTCTGTTGTCTGTAATTTAAAAGATGCATGGCTTGCTAGACATTCTGTAAGTTTCATTTTTTTTTTTCTTTGAGTAAAAAAGAACAGATTTGAGAGCTCAGGGAGAGCATCAAAATGATGGGTTTGGAGAAGAATATTTTTAAACGCTTATGTAATTGATCTAATGCCATGATGTGGCTTAGCACTGTGGTGTTTTAATAAAAACAGGATATGTGTACTATTGTTTTATGAGAGCTCATTTCTCATTTACTTACAGTTGGGGAAGGGCTGCAGAAATAGGACTCTGTTGAAAATTATGTCAGTGTCTTACATTTTCCTTCACAATTAAATTCCTCATTGTGAATCTTGTTATGGACTTTGTGATTCGTCTTAGTAAACCATTGAGTGAAGTACTACCTGTTCCAGGTAATAAGTTGATACAGAGATGAGACACGAATGTCTTGTGAGGGGCTAGAGAGACTTCTCAGTTGTTAAGAACACATTCTTCTCCCACAGAAAACCCAAGTTTGGTTCCTAGCTCCCACATCAGGTGACTCACAACTGCCTGTAGCTCCAATTCCGGGGGATCCTATGCCTCTGGCATCCATGGACATCTACAGCACAGTACACACACACACACACACACACACACACACACACACACACACACACACACACAAAATTAAAAATAGCAAAAATAAATAAAAAAATATTTTTGTCTGGTCATGGTCATAAATGCCTACAATTCCAGTACTTGGAGGCTAAGCTAGGCTGTGTAGTAAGACCCCGTCAGAGACAACAAACAAACTATATGTGTGTACCTGTGTCTTTGTGTTCTTGTGCATATGCTTGCACATGTCTGTGCATGTGCGTGCGCGCGCATGTGTCTGTGTGTGTGTGTGTGTGTGTGTGTGTGTGTGTGTGTGTGTGTGAAAGCTGGAGGACAGCCTCGGATGTCATTTCTAAGAGTCATTTGTCTTTTTTTTTTTTTGAGACAGTCTCTCAGCAGCCTGCAATTTGCCTAATTTCCCCTGTTTCTCTGAATTTTCTCTTTTTCTTTAGCCATCAGTATAGACTTGGTTGAACTGAACTCACAGCTGACTTTGAACCTTCCCAACTTATTGTTAATTTGTTTTCCAGTGCCAGGACTGCTGTTTGGTTGTTTAAAAATATTTAAAAACATTCTGTTGTGTTTTTGGAATTCTCTGTTTTCTTAAAGTTCTTTAAATTTCCTTAAAAACAGCTATTTTAAATTTATTTTAGTTTGTACATATCCATCACTTGTGTGTGTATGTATGTGTGTGTGTGTGTGTGTAAACCAGAGATTGATATCAAGTGTATTCCTCGTCGTTCTCTAATTTTTTACCTCATTTTTTTTTTTTTGAGTCTGGGTCTCTTACTGAACCTGGAGCTCACCAGCTGGCTAGGCTGGCTGGCCAATGAGCCCAATGGATATTCCTGTCTCCACCTTACCTAGGTTACAGGATATTTCTGTCTACCCTGCTGGGTTACGCACATATGGGGCAGCATCCAGCTTTTATGTGAGCTCTGGGGCTCCAAACACAGGTATCATGTGTGTACTGCAAACCTCACCTACTGGTCCATTCCTCAGACCCTAGCCTCAGGTTTTGGGGCCTCATCTTGTCCATATAACTTCAGCATGGTTCCCTACAGTTCTTGGAGGTTTGGGGCCTACCTACATCATTATCTGCACACTGACGATTAAGCTTCTACTCCAATCCTTATAACTTGACTTTCCTCCTCCTAGAAATCCTAGCAAGCTACTTGTCTTCTGTGCTGATCACGACTCCTATTTCAGCACGAAATGTGCCCCGAACCCAGATTGACTGCCAGGTCACACTTGGTGTATTGTCACTGTTTCGACACTAGAGACTGCTGTAAGCCCAAGTTTATCCCAAATCTGCAGTTTCTGGAAGAGAAAAGAGTAGTCCACCCCAGGGCCAGAGTGGCCCAGATGCCTTATACATAGCCATTGACTTGTGTCCTGATAATTCAGGTCTTGGCTTCATCGTAAGGGTCCAGCTTTAGTCACCAAAGCAGAAAACCATACCTCTCTCCCTTCCCTAAAGCAGAGAATGATTCTCTTTGTGCTGTACTGCCTCAGAATTTAGAAAGGAGAGGCAGGGCAATCTCAGGGCTACAAATGCTCAAACACTGGGTTACACCTGTTGCCCACAGCTCACTGAAATCAGAGCAGTGCAGAGGTAGGAACAAGGTCTATTCTGTTATGACCTGATTGATACTATGATTGTATACATGGCTTGAAACCCCTACAGGTGGCTAGGGATGATGCTATGCAGAATCCAAGCCCATCTAATTGCTGATATTGGTCTTTGCCTGATACACAGGCAATTTTGGAGGCTTTATCCATAGGTAGGGGACAGGAGCTGGTGAGATCTGCTCAACATTGGGTTGCAGTTACCCAACCCTGAATTCCAAGGTAAATTCCTGTGTTTGCTTCCTTGTTCCAACCCCCAGTAACTGGTTAAGCTGTGCTAGCAAAAGTTTGAGGAGGGGCATGGTGGAGATAGTCCCTTGGCTGCCCACTAAGACAGGTCCCGTGCTTGGTCCATGACCACAAGTCTAATAAGTGGCCACAAGGCTTTGTCCAGTACTATACTCCAATTCTGAAGAGCATATTTAATTTTGAATCCTTTCCCAAGTGGGAGGCATCTCTCTCATGCTGTGCTTTCAGGAAAGGGGTGGTCTATCTCCTCCCTCCTTCCTGTCTTTTCTCACTTGATTTCCTTAGTTCTTGTGAAGGTAGTTGCATGTGTGAATAACCATTCAGACTGGTGATTCTGGAAGGAGATGGATGGAGAGTGTTATTCTGCAGCCATCTTGCTCTGCCTTCTGTTAAAGAATTCCTAAGCATCTTTCTGGGCTCTATTCCTAGCTTTTCAAATGAGAGAAAAATTAATTCCAATGACATTCAAAGTATTCTAGGGAACATACCAATTCAATTTACAGATAAGGAAAGCAAAATGTTGAGTTGCCGAATTTCCTTTCAAAGGAGCTTTGCAGTGAGGCTTCTGTAAGATAAACATATTTAGTATATTGGTTCTAATAAACCATTCACTCACTGTTTTTAACCATCTAAATTAAACAATACCTAACAGTGCCATGGAAATGGTGACAGACCTAAAGTCTAAATATAGAAAATAGGGAATTTAGGCTGAGGGAAAAATCAGGAAGTGGTTATGAAGAGAAAAAAAATATTTGATGGGTGTGTATGAACAGCATACTAAAATTTAACAAAAGACAGACTAAGATAGAGATAGATTTAATATATGTTAAGGAATGAAACTCATTGCTCAATTTTGCACTTATTCTGGCTGTGACTAAAGGTCCCAAAAGGTTAATGGCTGAACTTAACTCTGCTCATTAAAGTAACCCAACTTCTTTTATTTAAAAGAATGGTGTTTTTCTAGTTGACTCATTTTGTTACAGGAAGTTGTAAGTGTTCTCTATGTATATGCGTCCTTGTGTGTAGGTTTGCACGTTGGTTTGTATGTAGATGCTTGTGTGTGTGTGGAGACCAGAGGTCAGCCTCAGGTATTGTTCAAGAACCATTAACTTTTTGTTTTGAGACATGTTCTCACATCAGCATTGACTTTGAACTCATAGAGTAGAGAAATCATCAGTGACTGTTGTTAATATAGCAATGAATGTAGCTTTCATTAAAATAGAGAATCAGTCCTATATTGACTCAGAATAGTTATCAAAAATGCATCCCATACTTGATGTGTACTTGGCGGAGTTCTAGATCTTCTCATGTGACTAACTTCATCCTCACAGGAAGTCTGTGAGGCAGATAAGATCATTTCATACAATGGAAAACTGGAAATTAAGTTAGGTTACTGAAGAAAATTCTATTAAATAATGAATAGTAGAGAAAAATGCTCATACCAATGTGTTCTTGTTCCAGCATAATAATTTTTCTTTTCATCTCAGCAGAACTTCCTATTTCTTATCATAGAAATAATGCACTGGAAGGTGATTTTGTTACTTTCAGAAATTTGTGGTATGTTTATTTTTCCACAATAACAATTGTTGGGAGTAAGCTTAATTCTAGCCATATTGAATATTGTCTTCTTGCCAAAAAGTTATAACTCACATGCAAGAATGAGAGACATTTCAGCATTAGTGAGAACTTCCGTTTTTTTTTCTTTTTACTAAGAGGAAACAATGGACATCAGGGACTTGGACAGCATGCTCAGGAACATGAGTATTGAGCTCACCGAAGGAGAAGTGAAAGAGCTGAAAAGAAACCTCTCAGTTGATGGTAACTAATTTTTGATTTAGAAAAACAATCTTCAGGACTTCTTGAAGTTTATAGACTATGATTTCTGAAACCTAGTTCATTTTGTACTAATAAAAATAATGCATACTCTCCGAAAATCCAGTTATAGACTAAAAGCAAAGGCTGTCTTCAGTTTCTAAATCTAGATCTAGTATAAAGCATTTGTCTATCACTCTAAGACCACTTTCCGCAGCAGTGGATGTTTGGGAAGCAAGAAGGAAAATGAGTAGAAGTTAGTGTGTGTCCTTTCCACACTTCCCATGAGTTTCTGTCTTCTGACTCTGACCTCTACTCAGGTGTATCTAAGAACACCAGGAACTTGCCATAGTCTGTCTCATTAATGAACCAGCCCCCACCCCTAAACCTCACCTTTGCCCCACCCCATCCCACCCTTAACTGTTCCTCCTCCATTTCTATTCAGGGAAGAGCAGGCCTCCCATGGAAATTGACAAAACATGACTTATCAAGTTGCAATAAGACTAAGCACCTCTCCTGTATCGAGACTGGGCAGAGTCACCCAGTATGAGGAAAGGGTCCCAAATGCCAGTGAAAGAGTTAGAGACAGTCCCTACTCCCACTGTTAGGAGTCCCACAAGAAGACCAAGCTGTCACGTGTATGCAGAGTGCCTAGGTCAGTCCCTTGCAGGCTCCCTGGTTGTTGGTTCAGTCTTCTGAGCCCAGATTAGTTGATTCTGTGGGTTTTCTTGTGATGTCCTTGACCCCTCTGGCTCCTACAATCCTTCCTCCCCTTCCTCCTCAGGATTCCCAGAGCCCAGCCTACTGTTTGGCTGTGGGTCTCTATATCTGTTTCCATCAACTACTGGATGAAGCCTCTCTGATGACAGTTGGACTAGGCTATAGTTTATGAGACTAGCAGAATATCATTAAGCATTATTACACTGGCTTTTTTTCTCCAACCATGTTTGGTTCTATCCTAGGTCTCTGGGTCATCCAGCCTCTGGGTCCTGGTACTCCAGGCAGTGTGGGCTTACTCTTGTGGCATGGATCTCAGGCTGGACCAGTCATTGGTTGGCCACCTGCACAGTCCGCACTACCCTTATCCCAACGCGTCCTGTAGGCAGGATAGACTGTAGGTCGAAGGTTATGTGGCTGGATTGGTGTCCCAATCCCTCCACTGGAAGTCTTGCCTGGACGCTGAAGATGGCTGATTCAGGCTATGTATCCCCAATTGCCTCATTAGTCTTTATTCTTTCTATTACTTATGGGAGCTCTCACTTGTCTTTGATATTAGTGATAATTTTGGCGTTGAAATTTTGGTTCTTCTATTTCCATCTCATTCTCCCAATGTCATTCTTATTCATGTCTAATATTCTTTTTTACATACTGTCTCTGGAAATCTTACTGATATTCATACCTTTACCAATTACTTCCATGCAGATCAATTTTATGTAGACCTCTGTCCTATGTTTCAGGAAGGGATATGTGAAGGGCTGTTAGACATTTCTATTGGATATTCCATAGAAATGATTATTTAAAATGAAATTTAATGTTTCCATGTCTGGTCTACTAGTTCTTCATTCACTGCCTCATTCATGTTATCTCCTAAGTTATTAATGGAACATGTTTTGTTCTTGCTCTTTCACATCACGAATTATCTGCTTCACCCATTCTGTAATGCCTGTTCTACCTCAGATTACCATACATAGAATGGAAAGACGGGTGGAGCAATCTATGAAAAAATAAATGTAACCAAGTATTAATAGTCAATCCTAGATAGGAAGCATAAGTTGTTCATATACAGCTCTTTCAACTTTATGGTATTCTTGTAACATTTCAAATTAAATGCTTCTTAAAATTTTATAGTTTAAATGTTATAGTCTCAGGCCACCAAGATGATGGCTTAGTGGATAAAAGGGCTTCCTGCCAAGCCTGATGACCTGAGTTGATTTCTAGAAGCCAGGTGGAGGGAGGAGAAAACTGACCCCTGGAAGCTGTCTTCTGATGTGTGTGCGTGCACATACACATACACACACACACACACACACACACACACACACACACACACACACACACACACAATGTGTAATCCCATGAGTCTTCTTTAGTTTCCTAGTTTTTGCCTACATTTACTCCCATCTTTAGTTAGTTAGAGGTTATGTTTGTCATTATGTATGAGAGGGAACAAATGGCATTTGTCTTTCTGGGCAAAGAGTGATAGCATTCCCAGAATTAAGAATCTTCAGAGAATTAAGCTGCATACATGGCAATTTACATCATGCTTACAAGGAACTATCATAGCCCAGAAAGAATATAATTTTCCCAGGTCCAGAGAATATAGTCTAGTGGTCAAGGGACAGTTTACTAACAAAGAATCAATCTCTGAAAATGAAAGGATTATGCAATCGAAGTTAACCTAAATAATGATGCATGAAATAAAACTTTAGCTACTTCCTGAGTCATTATTTAAAATTCATTTGCTTGAATTTATGTTTTCTTACAGCTAAGGGGACAACTGATCTGGACTCACTGGTGAATGGACTACAAGTCATCACAGGTCAGTGAGAAGTTATATAAAGTAAAGTCTCTAATTCTTCACACTATGCTATACTTTATATGATAAATATTTTATTGAAATATGATATAAAATTATTACATATGCTTATGTGGCCAGCTTAAAATTTATCACCAAATGAACTTGTCCATATTCCTACTAACCTCCACTTAAGACGATGAGGTAGGTGGATTACCAATAATCTAGAGGATCCTAGTTTTACTTCATAGTCATTCTGCTTGGCTATTTGGAGGTAATTATAGTTGACCCTTATATCTATAACTTCTACACACTGCTCCAATCATGTGATCATAAGTATTTGGAAAACAAATCCATCTGTGTTGAAAGTATAGACTTTTAGTATCTCAATAATATTATTCTCTTACATAGTAATATTCTCTCAATTATTTATATGGAATTTACATTTTATTAGGCATTACCAATAATGTAGAGTTGTCTGAAAAGATAAAAGATAATGTGTATTGGTTATATGTAAATGTTGTATCATCTTAAATAAAGGCTTAAAGATCCAGATTTTTATAATATTTTTAAAAAATCATTTATTTTTAATTAACATGTAATAGTAGTACTTACTTATGATAAGTTGATATTTCAACACATGTACCCAAAATGTACTGACCAAATCAGGGTAATTAATATTCCAACCTCTTTATTATTTCTTTATATTTGGAACTTTCTGGTTCTTGTAGCTCTTTATAAAACATAAAATAGGCTATTGTGAACTATAGTCACCCCAGTGTGGAGTACTAGAATTTATTCATTGTATTTATGTTTTGATACCATTATTAAACCCCTATCATCATTCCCCTGCCATGTTTCCTAACTAATGGTCACTATTCTACAATCAAATGAACTTTTCAAGCTTCCATTTATAAGAAAGATGTGCAGTATTTGATTTTCTTATTTGATTTGACTTAATGTCCTCCACTGCTACCAGTGACAGTATTTCATTCTTTATGCCCAATACGTTTCTGTTCTGTGTACCTGCCCCATTTCTTTATCCAGTCACCTGATTTGTTTTCATATTTGGGCTGTTGTCAAATAGCACTTCAGCAAAGAGAAGCATGTGAACTTCTTTGAGACTGTGATTCCATCTTTTTTCAAATATATACCTGGATTTCTATGCCAGCACCATGCTACATTGGTTACTGTAGCTCTGTGGTATGTCTTGAAACCAAGTGGTACAGTGCGTCTAACTTTGTTTTTTATATGTAAAACTGCTGGGCTATTTGTGGTCTTTTTTACTTTTGTGTGCATTTTAGCTTTTTTTTTTTTGAAATTCTTAAATTATGCCATTGGTATTTTGGTCGCGATTGCACTGAATCTATACATTACTTTGAGTGATCTGAACTTTTCACAGTCTTATTGTGTCTTCTAAGACATGCATATAAAAAGTCTTTACTTTTTTTTGTCTTTTTCAGTTTCTTGCATCAATGTTTGATGATTTTTATTGTAAAGGTCTTTCATTTCCTTTGTTAAACTTATTCTCATGCTGAATCTGTCACTATGAGTGAAATTGCTCTCATAATTGCTTTTTCAGAAAGATTGTTATTGGTATATAAAAATACTATTGACTTTTCCATGTTGGTTATATACGCCACAACTTAGCTGAAATAGAAACAATTCTGTTATTGTTTCTAATAACACTTAGCATCATCTTTAGACCTTTTTGCATATAGAATTATAGCACCTGTAAACATCTATGATTTGATTTCAACTCTACTATTTGTAGGATTTTTATTTTTTCTCTTGCCTAGTTACTCTAACACCTATCAAACTATGTTGAGAATAAAGAGTGAGCATGGACAACATTGTCTTATTCCAGATCTTACATGATCTTTCTGATTATTTGGTCAGCATGAGCTAGCCATTGGTTTGTCATAGACAAAGCTTTATTTGAAGTGGTATCCTTCTGTATGAAATGTATCTTTTTTATATGATGGAATACTGAATCTTACTAAATGCTTTTTTTCTGAATCTATTGACATTTGACTGGATGGTTTTTGTTTTTTACTCTGTTAATGTGATGTCTTTGTTATTTTTGTTTTGTTTTGTTTTGTTTCGAGACAGGGTTTCTCTGTGTAGCTTTGGTGCCTGTCCTGGATCTTGCTCTGTAGAGCAGGCGGTCTTCGAACTCAGAGAGTTCTCCTGGCTCTGCCTCCCGAGTGCTGGGATTAAAGGTCTTCGTTGATTTTTATGTTGAAATGACCTTTCATTCCTAGGACAAATCCCACTTGAACATGGCCAATTGTCTTTCTGATGTGCTGTTGGATTTTATTTGCTAGTCATGTTTTGAAGATTTTTGTAACTGTAGTCATTAGAAATATTGGCCTTCAGCTCTCTGTTTTTGCCATTGTAACCTTGTCTTGTTGGATTCCAGATATAGAATTACAAGATTTGCCTTCCTTATATATTTATGGAATAATTTGAGGGGAAAAAGGTTATTAGTGCTTCCTTTAAGGTAGAATTGAGCACTGAAGTTGAGTAGTTCTGGATTTTGCTTTGAGAGGCTTCTCGTCACTGACTCAGTGTTACTAACTCATCTTTGGTCTGTGCAGGTTTCTGTGTCTTCATGACTCAGTTTGGCAGGTTATATGTCTTCAGAAATTTTTCCATTCAAGTTTTCCAGTTTATTGCCATGCAGATGTTCATAGTAGTCTCTAGTAATCCTTTGCAATTGTGATATTTTTAGTGTCTCTTTTTTAGTTTATAATTTTATCTGAATCTTTTTTACTTGACTAGTCTATGTAAAGAATTGCCAATTTTGATGTCTTCTGTAAAAAAAAATTGTTGATTTCACTCATGCTATGTAATGTTTTTTAGTCTGTATTTTGTTTTCTGCTCTGATCTTTGGTTTAGATTTTCTTTGTTACCTTTGGAGTTTGTTTATTCTTTCCTTCCGGGGACCACATGCTTGACCAGGTGTTTTGTCTGCACTCGTCCTCTTTGACTTGGGTGCTGGTGCCTATGGTCTAACTTCCTCCTTAGCAGGTCCTCTGGCTCACGGCCGTGTGCCACACGCTGTGCTTCCACTCACACTTACACATCAAACAATTTTAACTTCCCATTAAATTTTTTAGTGACCCACTGTTCATTAAATAGCATGATATTAATCTGTGTATTTGAATAATTTCCAAAGTGCCTTGTGTTTTAAGGTTCTAGTGTTTGTCCTTTTGCCAAAAAAGATAATATATTGAGAGTTACATTGTGGTGTAATACAGTTCTTCCCTGCAGAATATTCTGTGTGTTGATGAAGATAATGTGTACTCTGCAGCTGTTAGATGAAATGCTCCGTCAGTGTCATTAGGGCTACTGTATCATCTAACTCATGTTTCTTCATTGCTTTCACCAATAATGATATGCACAAACTAAACGTAAAAGGAGAGAAAAAGGTACTTCACACAAATGGAAATCAAACTGAAGCAGGAGTTTTTATACCACACCAGACAAAATAGACTCTAAGACAAAATAAACTCTAAGCCACTACAGTGGCTAGAAATGTGGCTGAGTGGTTAAAAGCACTGGCTACTCTTCCAGAGGACCCAGGTTCAATTCCCAGCACTCACATAGTGGCTTAAAACCATCTTTAACTCCAGTTCCTGGGGATCCAATATGCTTTTCTGATCTCTGTGGGCACTGGGCACACATGTAGTGTATGTGTCACAAAAATATTGCTGGTCTTGGGTTTTATCTGCTTTGGTTTTAAATCCATGTAACCTGTTGATATCTTTGAATCAAGGAATTTATTCCATTTAATTCATGGTAATTATTGATGGTTAACAACTTAACTCATGCAAGGTACTTATGTGCAGCAAAATAGCAGGCCTGGGTGTAGGTGTGTGTCCTGCATGGCACTGTTGTCTCACTGGCATTGCTGGTACCTCCTGCAGTGAGTCCGCTGGGGCGCTCTCTTTCTTTTCCCTCTGAAATATGTCTTCTGACTTGAGAACAAGAGTTACAGTTTCTGAAATTTTTTAGGTTGCTGCCCTGCTGTCCTGTCCCCAGATTTTCATGCCTATAGGGTTCCCGTCTCTCCTTTGCTGGAGTCCAGTGCTGCTTTCCTCAAAAGGCAGCTCTCTATTTGCTGTTGTCATTTCTTTCCTCAGTAAGAAGATGAGCACTAGACGTCGGTCTTAGTTATTGTTTCTAGTGCGGTGAAGAGACACCATGGCCACGGTAACTCTTCTCAAGGAAAACATTTAATTGGGGCCAGCTTATGGTTTCAAAGGTTTAGTCCATTATCATTATGGTGGGACACAGAGGTGTGCAGGCAGACATGGTGCTGGAGAAAGAGCTGAGAGTCCTTTATCTTGATCCACAGGCAACAGGAAGTGCACTGAACTAAGTATAGCTTGAATGTAGGAGACCTCAAAGCCCACCCCCACAGTGACACACTTCCTCCAACAAGACCACACCTACTTCAACAAAGCCACACCTTTTAATAGTGCCACTCCCTATGAGCTTATGGGGGCCAATTACATTCAAACAACCACAACATCTCTATTCAATCATTTTGCCATTTTGTTACTTATAGAGGGTTCAAAAACTACTTCCATGGAGACCAAGAAAGTACTAAACTAAATTTCAGACCACAGAATTATTCATTTTCCCAGTTTTCAGCTTTATATAAATAGAATCACAAATCTATAGTCCAATATTTTTTAATTTGTCCATTACTTTTATTAGTCCATTAATTTGTATTGTCCATTATTTTAATTAGTCCATTATTTTTAATTTTTAGTGAATCTCAGAGAATAACATATGACATAATGTTGACTTTTTAAATTCAACATTGTGTCATATGTTGTTCTCTGAGATTCACTCATAGTGCTGTATGCAGCAGTGGTTTATTGATTTTCATTGTTGTATAATACAAATAAATTATAATCAAATAGGGATCTGTGATGATTATCTTTGCTATATGGAATGATTTTTAATTAGTTGATTGTGCCTGAATACATTTCTGTATATTCCATTGTATAAACATATAAAAATTTGTTCTTATATTCTATTATCAAGGAATTTTTCCAATTTGAGGCAGTTATAGCTCATTTACTGATTAAAAACTACCCTGGCATATGCATTCTGATGAATGTATGTGTTTGATTCTCTAGTCATATATTTTTCTCGTAATGTTAATGTTGTTAGATTTTGAGATAGTCTTTTCTATAAAATTAAAATAGAAAAGTTTTCCTTCTTTTATATTAACTGAAGGAGTTTGTGTTTAATTACATTAAAGATGAAATGTTCAATTACATTACACTGTGAAACATTTCATGTGGGAAGATTTTAAATTACCAGTTATATAATAAATATAAGACTCAACTATCAAGCTATTTTACATTCCTTCCATCACTGTCAAATAGTATTTTGTTAAGACTTTATTCCTTTATTTTAAATAGTGAAATTGCTTGTATAATAATCATAACATTCTTTTTTTTTTTTTGGTTTTTCAAGACAGGGTTTCTCTGTGTAGCTTTGCGCCTTTCCTGGAACTCGCTTTGGAGACCAGGCTGGCCTCGAACTCACAGAGATCTGCCTGCCTCTGCCTCCCGAATGCTGGGATTAAAGGCGTGTGCCACCACCACCCGGCTAATAATCATAACATTCTTATGAGTATTTTAGTGTCTGTGGGAATGGTGGTGATGTCTCCTTTGTCAATGGTGTGCTGTGGGATGTTCTGTATGTCCTGTGGGAGCCTGTTCTTGGGTTCCTCATGGCTTTACCCAGCAGGTCTGCATAGAGGATGATTAGGACCACAAGCCTGAGTGCAGGTGTCTGAGATAGTCTGCACTTGGCTGTGCTGAGGATGGTCTGTATGTCAAGTTGCTCTGTCTGATTGGTCAATAAATAAAACCTGATTGGCCGTGGCTAGGCAGGAAGTATAGGCGGGACTAACAGAGAGGAGAAATAAAAGAACAGGAAGGCAGAAGAAGTCACTGCCAGCCGCCACCCTGACAAGCAGCATGTGAAAATGCCGGTAAGCCACAAGCCGCATGGCAGGGTATAGATTTGTGGAAATGGATTAATTTAAGCTATAAGAACAGTTTAGAAAGAAGTCTGCCACGGCCATACAGTTTGTAAGCAATATAAGTCTCTGTGTTTACTTGGTTGGGTCTGAGTGGCTGTGGGACTGGCGGGTGACAAAGATTTGTCCTGACTGTGGGCAAGGCAGGAAAACTCTAGCTACAATGGTGATAATCTTTATTTGTGCTTTCTTTAACTTGTCTCTTTCTTTGTCATTTGGTACTGGTATTTACTAGTTTTGTTCATCTTTCCAACATTCAACCTTGAGCAATATAAATTTAAAATTTCTTTTCTGTTTTGGAAATCCTGGCTTTGCTTTTATTGTCTGTTTTCTACTATTTTTAGGGGAAAGTGTGTTTGCTGTTCTTTTCTATTTTTTAAGAATAAATCTAAATTATTTGTCTTTTCATTTTTTTTAGCATATACATTTAAGACTAATTTTTCTCAATATATCTTTGCTTTATTCCACAGTTCTGTCATTAGATTAAACATATATTCTTACTTTCACTTGGGATATATTTGATGTATGGTTTATTTAGAAACATACTCTTTATTTTTTAAGCATGTAGACATTTCCTTAAATCTTTCATTCTTGATTTATACCCTAATTACAAACACGAAATTGCATATATATTTGTATCAATTTTACAAATAACCTTTAAGTGACTTGAACTTTAACTGTGAGATATTATTTCATACCCGTCATTATGGTGACAAATTTTCTAAAATTGAAATAATTCCCTGTATCTGAAACTTAATGTTTATTGTTTAGCAACTGTTATGCCTTAGCTCATTATTCATAATTTGGGATTATAATAGTTAGAAAACATTTCATACTTCTCTATTTTTACTCTGGAGGAGAGAAAATTGATGTCAGTGATGTGGAAAATGCCATCAAAGATGTGGAGAGTGAAAGAGCGTCTAGAGAGCGTCTGGAGCAGAAGTCATTCCCAACTCATGGTGAACATTTCCAATAGTAGATTAAATTTCCAAACAGTTGATATGCTTTCAAGAGAGTTAGAGTAGTCATCAATGGAATTAGTCAGCATTACTGATGTCCGTAGAATTATAAGGGAGCTGTGATTATATGCTTAGAAATTTGCATTATCTACTAACCTATGAATAACTATGTAACTTTTATAAATAAGAGATAATAGTAAATATCTAAATCTCAGATACAGCTAACTTTAGTACTTAGAAATGTGTAAATTGTCACTTACTAAAACATACTTATGCCATTTCAAATCATAAATCTTGCCACCGGGGATAAGGAATGCTGATACTTACATTTCATTGTATTGAGCTGTACTGGTTTAAGACCTACAGGGAAAGAGGAGGAGGAAGAGTGGTGTGACTATACTGATAGAGGAAAGGCGAGTGTAGTAGGAAAAAATATGAAACAAGGAAGTGTTTTTGCATTAACCTACTTGGTGTTAATAATTGACACATTTACTGTAGTAATAATTTGGTCTATATATTCTTTTGAGATGGGTACATTCTAGGAACAAAGTAATTTCATGCTTTGCATTTTGTTTACTACAAATAAGGCATTTTGTTTACTTTAGCATGATAACTCTTCTTAGCCATCATTTGGGATATGTATTTCCTAATAGCTAATGGAGATGTGTATAAGAATAGGTTACAACAATGTGTGAAAGTTATTGAAAGTGAAGTAAATACAAATCAAGAGCCCAGATTAGAGCTGGAGAGATTGCGTAGTAGTTAAGTACACTAGCTGCTCTTCCAGAGGACCCAGGTTTGATTCTCAGCACCCATAACTCCAGTTCCAAGATATCTGACCCCCTTTTCTGTCCCCCACAAGGACCAGGCACATGACTGGTGCATAGACATCCATGTAAACAAAACACCCATATTCATAAAATAAGCCAGATTAGCAGAAGTGCTTTGCTTTGCCTTTGTTCTTTCTTTCTGGTTAATTTTGTTGCTGTCAGTCTCATTATTTATATAATTAATTTTAATATTATACTGCATTGCTTGTACTAAGTGATTTCCTCTTTTCTTTTTAAAAGATGTTCTGTTTATTTTAGGTGCCTTTCAATGTCAGCCGTAGAGGTAACAAAACTGACATAGGTATCACAGCTGGAGAGAAGGAAACAAACTGTTGAGAGTAGCAGCTCACGTGGCTTGAGGTTTAGTGACCAGACAAACCCTACCATTTGTTCAAACATTTATGCTACAACTTTGAGATTGGCTATCTAGCTGCTATAGATAACCTTAGTTATTTCATAGTTCTCTTTTGACATATAGTTGGCCGTTTGTTTAATTTCAGTATTAAATAAAAGCAAACAGATTGATTTCAGTTTATTAGTAACTCCCTCAAACACGTAAGGACCTTGCTTGAGGTACTTTTTTTTTTTCCCTGAGACAGGGTCTCTCTGTGTAGCTTTGCGCCTTTCCTGGAACTCACTCTGTAGACCAGGCTGGCCTGTAACTCAGAGAGATCCGCCTGCCTTTGCCTCCCAAGTGCTGGGATTAAAGGCGTGCGCCGCCGCCGCCACCACCACCCGGCTGAGGTACCTTTTTTATAATGATATGAGAACCATGATACATAGAGATTTACATTTATTTTATTTTGACTGTATTTCAACCTCCTCATGCCACTGTCTTTTGTAGGAATGCAAGTGGATATCAGTGATCTTGACAGTCTACTTGGAAACATGGCTTTCAAACTGACACCTGAGGAATCAACCTCAAAGTTACCAGATTATGGTAAATGACTCCATAGCACTGTAGCCACGAAAGAACTGGGGCTTGAAGCTAATGTTTTTGACATAACAAAAAAGAATAACCTTTTCCTTTTCTTTTAGTAATATAAAGTGATGTTTTTCACTATTTATTCATTCATTCATCAAGTTTATGCTGGGCACTTAATAGCCATACATGGCTATGTGTATTTGCATAGTACTTACATTGCATTAGGTATTAAAGTTAATCTGGAGATAAATAAAGTATTTAGAAGGATGCATATAGGGTGCATCCAGTATTGTGCTATGTTCTAGAAGGGGTTTGAGCAGCTCTGTGTTTTGTTTTCTGCTGCTAGTCCTGCAACCAGTCCTCCATGGAACAACTGGATTTACAGTTACATGGTCTTTTGCTTCACCCTTAACCCATAGGTCATTCTAGAATTCAGGAAAGGCTTTCAGGATCCACTGGGCATATACAAGGGTTGAGTCTCTTTGTCTAACACTAAAATGTAGTGTGTGTGTGTGTGTGTGTGTGTGTGTGTGTGTGTGTGTTAGTAAACTGTGCCACATGATGCACAATATTTCCAAAAGTATTTCTTTTGTTTTGAAGGAAGACGTGTTGGTGTTGACATGAAAGAAAGTTCTCAATATGAGGAAATGGAAAGTAAAATTAAGGAACCCTCGGAATTGGTGAATAACCTGCCCATTGAAGGTGAGACTAAGAAATGACAAGTCTTTTTTTCTTTCAGCAGAATTTGTTTGTTTAGAAGATTTTCTACAGCTCAATTCTTTTTTATTTTTAAATAGCTAATGTATTGACTTTAGTTTTTTTAAATATTTTGTAACTTTCATACATGAGTACCATATATTTTCATCATATCTACCCCACCTCTCCTCATCACCTCCTGTATGCCCCCTTTACCCTCTCTTATAGTGATGTCTTTATGATTATATATATATATGCATATATGCATGCATGTGTGTGTGTGTGTGTATGTACATGAATGACCTACTGAGACCAGCTAGTGTTGTCCATATGTAGTTGGGTGTAGGGTTGACCACCTGGGGATGGGTAGCCTAGCAGAGGGCTTATCCTTGAAGAAAACCATCTCTCTTCCCCCAGCAGTTCTCAACTGCCTAAAGCTCTTCAACTAGAGGCAGGCCTTTGTGTGCTCTTCCGCCATTTGTGGCTAGAATGTAGACTGGTGTGATCTTGTGCAGGGACCATATTGTTGGGGTTTTCCTGGGTACGACATCCCTGTCATGTCCAGAAGACACTATTTCTCAATGGTCCTCCTGGTCCTGTGGCTTTGTAAATCTTTTCTTTCCTTGTCTGTGAGATTCCTTGAGCCTAGCGTATAGGAATTGTGTTATCAATATCCCATTTGGGAATAGGCACTCAACAGTTGCTTATTCTCTGCACTTGAATTTACTATGGTTTTCTGTAATAGCTTCTGTCTGCCGTGAAAAGCATCTTTTTTGGTGGGAGAGTGAGAACCATACTAAGAAATGGTTAGAAGGCAGTTAATCTGCATCTGGTTTTAAATGGTTATAGTAGGTTCTCCTCTAGAGCCTCTGGCCTCTCCAGCCATCGCCTCTTGGTTAGGCAAGAGGTCCTTCCTATTACGTGGACTTTAAGACCAATCAGAGAGTTCGTTGGTTACTCCTGATATTTTAGTGCCACTAGTGCACCACTGGGCATCTTTTGGCTGGACCAGTAGTTATTGCAATTTGAAGGATCTGCAACTGTGTAAGATTGTGGATGACATTTCCCCTCAGCAGCTTTGTGACACCTTCCAACACCATTAAAAGCTAATTGGCACCAAGTGGTGGTGGCACACACCTTCAATCCCAGCACTCGGGAGACAGAAGCAGGTGCATCTCTGTGAGTTCGAGGCTAGCCTTGTTTACAGAGGGGATTCCAGGATATCCGGGGCTACACAGAGAAATGTTGTCTCAAAAACAAAAACAAAACAAACAAACAAAAAGCTAGTCATCAGTGCGAAGGCTTCGGAGTCAGTACCAGCTTGATTTCCCCAAGTCCTTTACCATACAATCCTGTTTCCTAATTAAGTAGAGAATCACTCAAAAGAAACTTTTAGGAGGCATTATTGTTTTATCTTAAGAAGTACTAAGCCAGGCGGTGGTGACACAGGCCTTTAAACCCAGCACTTGGGAGGCAGAGCCTTCAAGAATCATGCCGAGTTCCTGCTTTCCCAGACATGTGACATTTTGTTCACCTTCTAAGTCCAAAGAGCCTTCTCCTCTCTTGCAGAGGGATATTTCAATTCTGAGCAAACTGCTATCCAACAGAGTGTCCATGTGTGTGAGTGTGACTGTGCACAAGCAGGTGTTTATGCTTGTGTGCACACGCAGAGGCTAGAAGAGAGTGCAGGGGGATGGTTCTCTATCGCTCCTCACCCAGTCCTTTGAGCAGCTCCGTGAATCAGAGGCTCACGTTTTCTCGGGTAGGCTGGACGCCAGCAAGCTCCAGAAGTCCTCTTGTTTTTACCCTGTTCGGAACTGGGGTTTCAGGTGTTTATGGGGGTCCAGCCAGCTATGTCGGTGCTGGAATCTGAATTCTGGTCTCATGACATTGTAACAAGAGCTGTTCATGGCTGAGACACCACTCCAGCCGTGTTGTTCATTTTATCAGCAACTTCTTTCACTGTGACAGTTTCCAGTGCAGAGAAGCGTCAGGGAAAAGAAAACAGATAGGAATCAGGAGAAGAGAAATGAGATTAAAAAAAACTTAAATTGAAAAAAAAATCAGGTTAAGAGACATACAGTCCACACTGCAGTTAAGGATTAACAGTTACTCCATTAAAAAATAAAAAGCCTGGAAGCTCAGGTGACAGATGGTAGTTTTTTGTTATGTCTAAAAGTATAAAATCTGTGATTATTGTACTCTAAACCACAAAATACACTTGTGCTTTACTACCTCAGGTTATCCCAAAATAAGTTAAAAGGAATAGGTTTTAATTTACCTATCATACTGATTTTTTTTCTGGATAACTAGAAAAGCCAAGTTAAAGTTCTGATAGTCCTATAAAAACATTAAATTACAATAAAAAGATAGAAATGATAGATCTTACCTTATTAACACTCAATCAAGTTAATAATAGCCAGAAATGAATTATTTAAAAAATAATCTGTCTTTTTTACCTTCCATTCCTCTTGCTTTCTAAGGAAGAAAAATTGATGTGGGCCGTTTGGACAGCATTCTGGGACAGATGCAGATTAAACTCTCAGACAAAGAACTCAAGAAGCTGTCAGATAGCCTTATAGGTGAGTGTCACAGAAACGAGTCCCCTTGAAGAGTCTGTACCTGCGACCATGAATACGGGCTCTCCAAACCCCGTGTGCTCTGTTCCAAAAAGACATTTTGCAGAGCTTAGGGAAGCATTTATCCCTAATATGAAGGTAAGTCTTAGTTTTCATTAAATAACAAAATCTTCAAGAACAGCAAGAGAGAAGGATAAAACTGTCTCCAGCTCTTTGTTTCATTTAACACTTATTTCCTATATCCTGAAAAAGTTCAGATTTATTTATTTATTTATTCATTCATTTACCTTTACATGTGTTGTGTATACTCATGTGTGTGGATATGTGTGTGTGTGTGTGTGTGTATGTGTGTGTGTAGATTTGATGCATATGTTTGCACATACTTGTGGTAACCAGAGGACAACCTTGGGTGTTGTTCCTCATGTGCTGTGTACCTTATTTATTTTAGGATCCTTAAAAAACATTTCTTTTAGATTTATTTATGTCACGTGTGTGGACTTTTGCCTGCATGTATGTGTGTGCCTACGGAGGTTGGATGGGAGCATCAGATCCTCTGAAACTGAACTTACTAGAGCTTCCTAGAGCTTCCTAGAGCTTCCTAGAGCTAGGAATGAAACCCCAGTCTCCTGCAAGAGCAGTAAGTGCTCTTAACCATTGAGCCATGTCTCCAGCCCTCCACCTGTATTTCTAGGCAGGTCTCTCACTGGGCTGCAAGCCTGCTGGGTAGACCGAACTTGATGGCACTGAGCCCCAGTGATCTGCTCGTCTGCACCCCACCAGTGCTGGGATTGCAAGGATGCACTATCATGCCTGTTATATGTGTCCTGGGGATTGAACTCAGGTCTTCACGCTTACATGGCAAATGCTTTATGGACTAAGTTTTCTTCAACACTGTCTTTTTGTATTATATATCTTAATTTATGTCATATTTTTATGATTGACCTTAGATATCAGAGCAATTGATAGAAACCAAATTTTTATTTATTACTGTGGAATTTGACTGAAATATGCTTTGCTTTTTATACTGGGTTTTACAATTATTATGCAGAGACACATCTGGTTGTCATAGTTGTTATGTGGGTGGGAGCTGTTAGCATTCAATTTCTCATGTATTAGAGATACTGGATACCCTGAATTCAAGCGACCTTTAACACAATGAAAACTGTCCTGTGGTAAGTTAATGTGCTTAGTAATTGGGGATCCTATGCCCTAAACTAACTGCTGCTTCTGTGTTACTGTCTGATTACTACAAACTAAACCTTGGGAGTTAATGCTCACTCAACTTTTTCTGACTTGATTCATTGTATTGCAAATGAGCATTGCCCTTCCTTTATAAAATGTGAGTTTTTTTAGAAAATTTCATATCTTTATTTTTATTGTATGAATTTTTTGCCTTCATGTATGTCTGTTTGTCACAAGTATGCCTGGTTCCTGTGGAGGTCTCTCGAATATTATTAAGGACCAGTCTTAATAATCTTCTTCCCAGGGGCCCAGAAGAGAAGCTATGAATGGCAAGAATTATTTTCGGGAAAAAATCTAAGTACACTGAGCTCTTTAGACTGTCTACTTTATTTTATTCCTCTGGGATAAAATCCAGTCTACACAGCTTCAGTTCTGTTCTCATGCCTACCTCCTTTTTTGCCTGATTTCTCTCTACCTTTATCTGCTGCCCCCTCTAAGTTCTATCGTAATTCTCTTATCTTAGTTCTGCCTCATCTTGGTCTTTTTCTTTCTTTCTTTCTTTCTTTCTTTCTTTCTTTCTTTCTTTCTTTCTTTCTTTCTTTCTTTCTTTCTTTCTTTCTTTCTTTTTTTGTTTTTTGTTTTTCTAGACAGGGTTTCCCTGTGTAGCTTTGCGCCTTTCCTGGAGCTCACTTGGTAGCCCAGGCTGGCCTCGAACTCATAGAGATCCGCCTGGCTCTGCCTCCCGAGTGCTGGGATTAAAGGCGTGCGCCACCACTGCCCGGCTAAGGTCTTTTTCATCTCTTTCTTACCCATCTCATTCTTCCCCATCTGTCTCTTCCTCATCTTCCATCTCATTCTTCTAGTTCTCCAGTGAAAATCCTCAAAATCCTCCCTAAGTCTCTGAGGTTTACAGTTATATACCCATGCAACAGCAGTGCTCCAGCTAAAGCAAGGTCACCAGGCTTGAATTCTTACAGGGTCATAAAGGCAGACAAGAGTTTTCCTCAGCCAGTGACTGTCAGGCTTTCTTTTATAACCCAAAAGGGGAGTGGTAAAGGAGGAGGTCAACTAAGAGCTAAGATCGGTTAATATCAGAAAAAGGGAATTTATGTGCTCAATCTACATTCCTAGAAGTGGTTAGGTAAAAAGTTAGGAGTCTATAATGTTAGTATAAATACCACTAAGGCTGTATAAGAAAAGGAGGGTCTGAGCTTAATTTGCCTTAATTCAGGAGATCATTTGACCTTGGTTGCTTGATAGGTATTTCAGATAGAATACACTGTTATGAGTTCTTGGAAGTATACAAGCATGCAAAGAAATCATTACAGGAATCAGCTTATACACACACACACACACACACACACACACACACACACACACACAAAAGCTAAAATATCACCAAGATTTCTTAAGCCATGGCTTGACCTTTGGAAAAGTCCTTGACTTTTCCAAGTAGTAGCTTTTGTGATAGAAGCTGAATTCTATTACATTTTCCTTTGGCTTGCAGGAGAGGTCAGAAGAGGCCATTGGATCCTCTGAAACAGGAGTTACAGGTGTTTGTGAGCCATTGTGTGGGTGCTGGGAGCTGTACCTGGGTCCTCTGCATGAGCAGCCAGTGCTCTTAACCACTGAGCTGTCTTACCAGCCATGATAATGTGAGCTTTTAGCAGAGACTATGCTGGCTAGTTTTATATCATCTTGTCAGAAGCTGGTTCATGTGGCAGTTTTCAAAGGTCTAGGTTCTGTGTTCAAGGGCCAGTGACTCCCTCAAAGTATACAGTAAGCACAGATAAGCAATCTCATTAAATATTTGATTCAATATGGTGAATTAAGAGAGTATGATTTTGGTTGAAAAATTTTAAATTGATATAGTATATGTCCTATAATAAAATGTGAAATGTTTATGTTATCTGAGTATGTTTTATTTATTGAGTTTGGGGGAATTTTTTTTTTCATTTATTTCTTTCTAGGCAAACAACTATATAATTAGAGGCAATGAAAAATATTAGACTGCGGTTTATTGTTTTTAAAGTGTATTCAAAGTTGAAGACTGCCACTACAACCTACTTTTAGAACATTTTCATCGGCTACAAAAGAAAACTCTTACCTTATAGCCATCGCCCTCCTGTTTTTCTACACCACCTCCCTTTCTCAAGCCCAGGCCTCTGCTAGTGTATTTCCTCTCGTCGTAAGCTGCTCTGGATGTGTCAAATCCTGGAGGATTACAGGCTTTCATGATGGGTTCATTTCACTTAGAGTATGTTTTATAGGCTCATCCAGATAGCAGCATTCTATCTTATTACTAAATCATATTCCTCTGTGGATACACTTCCTTTTGTCTTTATGAAATCTCCAGTTAATGGAACCTTAGGTCATTCTCATTGTTTGTCTATCGTGTTGCTTTTACTATTTGTGTACAGTTTTTTTTTTTGTAAACATTTTCCATTACTCTTCGGCATGGAATTGTTGAATCAGATGGTAAGTGTGGTTAACTTTCTAAGGAACTATCTAATTGTCTTTTGAGTGTTGCATATTTACATTCTTGCAAAAAATGTGTGTGTGGGTTATGATTTCTGCATCTCTTCTGATTCTTTTTATTCTTACAATTTAGGCATGCTAGTAAGTGTAGAGTGGTATGCCATTGTGGCTTTGATTTATTTTCCCTTGTGACAATCATATTGAATATCTCCATGTGCTCATTAGCTGTTTGTTTAACTTCTTGAAGACATGGCTGCTCAGATCCTTTGCTCATTTTAAAATTAGATTCTTGTCCTTTTATTATTGACTTAAAAAACTTGCTTTACCAATATTTTCTCAATTTTCTTATGTCTTTTTATTTTCTTGATAGTGTTATTTGTAGCGCAAAACTTTCAAATTGTGATGTAATCCAGTGTGCTATTTTTTGTTGTGTTTTGTTTTTTCTTTTACCATTAATGTGACTGTTAGCCCCTGGACTATTTCCAGACATTTGATTTTTTTGGATGTTCCTTAGGGGAAATTGCACCTCACAGTGCTATTCTGGAAGCAGGACTCTGGTGATAACTCTTTGATCTGTTTCACCATTCACTGAATTTCTCAGATCTTTGACTTAATGGAAATGGATGCATGTAGTATGTATTTTATGTCCTTCTAGGGATGACTGTGAGATTCAGCCATGTGGTTGCATGTAGACTGTATTACCCTTTATTGGTGAATAACATTCAATTGCATGAATATACTTTGATTTATTTATACTCTTATTGATGGACATGTAATACTTTCTATTTTGGCCATTCCCACTAAGGTTGATAGGACCATTTGTATGTACAACTTTTAGCAGGAGTGCATTTTAATTTCTTTTGGATAAGTACCTAGGAGTAGAACCTTCCTATATTATAGAGTATATGTAGATTTTTTCTTTTTATTTATTCTCTCATACTATGCATCCTGATGGCAACCTCTCCTCCCTCTATTCCTCCCACTCCCCCACCTCCCCTCTCCCCCAGATCCACGGCTCCTCTGTTTCTCTTCAGAAAAGAGCAGGCCTCCCAGTGATTCCACTGAACACTATGTAACAAGATGCAATAAGACTAGGCACAACCCTTTGACAATTCCAGTTTCTTCACATCCTTGCCTAATATTCTTTTTGCTAGCTTTCATTTTAAATGATATATATGAAATTATAATTTATTCTGATTTTAACTTGCATTTTGCAGATGACTAAATATGTTTTAAATATTTTTCATGTTCTTGTTGGTTTTATTTTAATATATTTAATATATAAAATGTATTTAAATATATAAAATAGATTTGATATATAAAATATTTTAATATATTTATTATATAAAATGTTTTAATATATAAATATGTTTTAATATATGTATATAATATGTTTTAGTATATTTATATCTAAAATATTTTAATATAGTTTATTATAATATTTTTAATGAAATGTCTCTTAGGTCTTCTGACCATTTCTATTAGATTATTTTTATAATAAGCATAATGCTGGTAAATTGCCATGGGCTGCTGAAGTTTGTTGAAAGCTGACTCTGGGAGCTAAGAGGGCAGCTCTCTTGTCTCAGACCCTAGCATGTTTAGTTAAGCATTCTCTAAAATTCCTTGTCCTGGGGAAGGCTGGCCTGCTAACTGAAAAGGGGAGAGGAAAACAGCAAATAGCTAAGGGTCTTAAAAACACTACACCTTTGAGAATGCCCAAAAGACATTGTCCAGAGATTTTCAAAAGATGTTAGAATTGTTTATCCCACGACACAAACATGCCTGTGGTTGGCATATACACACAATGGCCATCCATGGAGAGAATATTCTGCTTGGCATGGAAATCTCTTTACCCAAAACTCCAGGATGAGGGCTTCACCAGGACTTTCTCAGCCATCAGCTGGATAACATTACCTTTGCTTGTTTCCCAGCGGGACTACTCTAGTCACTTCTGATGGATGTTTTAAGTGCCTGATTTGATGGTGTTTTTCTATCTCTCTTTCTATTTACGTGCTAGTTGATATGTGTTCTTTTACATTTGCTCACTATATACCCAACAAACTCATTCATTTGAAACGAAAAGTATGGCTCTTATAGATCATTGTCCTCACAGAACATCTTTTTATTGTTTATTTGTTGGATAGCTTTATATATTCTCGTCTATTTTACATATTCATTGTCAGATATAGGTATTCCAAATATTTTCTATAAGTCTATGATTTGCTGATGCATTTTCCTAAACTTGCCTTTAAATAAAAAATTTAATTTTGATAATGTCCAACTTATTAATCTTTGTGATTAGTGCATTTTTTATGTTACTGAAAAAAATCATTGCCTACATCAGGGTCACTCAGTGACTTATGCCTTTTCTAGATATTTTCTAATCATATAAGATATATTTAATTGTATGATATATTTTCAGTTAATTTTGTATGAAATGAAAGATAGTAGTCAGTGTTTTATAAGTAGATAGCTACTAATTTTAGCACCAACTCTTAAAAATAATTTCCTGCCTTCATTAAATTAACTTGAACTATTATTCAAAATATGAGTCAGTTTCTGAATGTTCTGTTTTATAGACCTATCACTGTGTTAGTTACTGTGGCTTCAGAGTGAGTCTTTTCAACATTGTTCCGTGTTTTCCAGATTCCTTTACTGTTCCTTAGCATCTCCATTTCAGTTTTCAGGATGACTATCAATTTCTTCAAAAGACAATGATGTAATTTTGACATAAATAGTATTGTATCTGTAAATTCATTTGGAGAGAATAGACATAGTCACAGTGTTGAGATATCTCTCTCTCTCTCTCTCTCTGTGTGTGTGTGTGTGTGTGTGTGTGTGTGTGTGTGTGTGTATTTGGGGACAGTAGAGATTAAGTATGGTTATCTTAGCAATAACCACAATGCTCCTTTCTTTTTATGAAAGACTTTTATTTCTTTAAACAATATTTTGTAACTTTTAGATCAGAAGACTTGGGCATTTTTTGTCAGCTTTACTTGTATCTTAACATTTCATCTTCCAATTGCTCACTGCTAGCATCCAGCAGCAAACTGACTTTTGTATGAGTCTTGCATCCCACTGCTTTGTTCAACTCACTCATTAGTTGAAATAGTGTTTTCTAGTCTGTGTGGTTTTCTGCTGCAAATGATGACACTTTTCATCTCCTCCCTTCCAACATCACAGTGCTTTTCTTTGTTCCCCCTGCCCTCTTCTTGCCTTGCCTGTGTTTCTAGAGCAATGTCAAATAAAAGAGACAGTAGTAGGTCATCTTCCTCCTGGTCCTTAATCGAAGGGGAAGAAAGGACTTCAATATTTTATGTTATTATGTTAGCGACAATATTTTATAGTTGTGTAGATACCTGCTTCTAAATTCAGCTAATGTTTTTGCAATAATGTTTTTATTATCCGTCTCTCAGTTATAGTTTTTCTTATAGGTAAAGAGGAGATTGATGTCAACAAATTAATGGATACAATAAAAGCTGAAAAAGGTTGGTAAGAAAATACTATGAGTCTAAAATCCAGTTTCTCTAACCTAATTTTAATATACTTAATTATCTAATCATCTATTTATGATTCTTTTTGACATTTGTATTATGGAAAGTCGTATCTAATATCTTAGGGCCTGGCTAAATATTGTCTAGTTCAGCAATTCTGTATGAAACAATGATGGCATTTTCTTTACCCTGGGAAGATTTTACTGGCTCTACCCTTCCTCATGCATAGGCCCAGAGAAAGCATTATCTGGAATAAAAAAAAAAAAAAGGATGTTGGCTGGGTGTGGTAGTGCATGTCTTTAATACAAGTACTTAGGTGATAGAGGCAGGAGGCTCTCTGTGTATTCAAGGCCAGCCTGTTCTACAAAGTGAATTATAGGCTAACTAAGACTATTTAGTGAGACCCTATCTCTAAATAAATAAATAATAGGCATAGGCTGTCTCATAATTAAAGAAAATGATTGGACCTATGCATGACAGTATCATTAAGTAATATCATGTATATTCCATCATTATGATTATTTTTACTAGGAATCAGAAAATAAATCACATTCCCATGATTGTCACTAACAAATGGGTAGGCATCATTGTGCTCTTACTGTCCATATGGCAGTCAGTACAGGGTAAGCATGAAAGTCTGCATGTGCTTAGAATTCTTAGGTCTTTCGTTAGTCTTATTTACCTGTGTTTTCTACCATTAGAAGGAGAAACGGTTGGTGTTGCTGATATTAAAAGTATACTGCACTTAAGGTATCTGCCTAGAGGAAGCATGGATATGGCAAATATTTCTGTTGATGGTAAGAATTTTAAATTGCATAGAATTTAAGATAATTTATAGTTATACCTGTTCTGTGAGAATGTTCATCCATTTTTATGCAAAATGCCATTTACTTGCCAGAAAATTTTCAAAAAGGAAAAGACTTCCATTTTTTTAAAAGTAAATTTCTAGTAGTTCTCCTTTAAAAGAAAGTTCAACTACATTATGAAAAAGTTTTCAGACTGTCTGCTCTGTCAATCACTGATTCTGCCATTAGCCAAAAGACTGCCTATTCTGGCTTTAGAAACCAATGATTGAGCATCCCCAGGATTAGTTGGAAAGAATGAAAAAAAATAAATTGAATAGGAATAAATTAAAGAGGAGAAATGAAAAAAATTAATGGTAGGAAGAATGTTAAGAGGGATAAGACAGATGAATGGGTGTAGAGGCCCCATAGAAGGGTTTTTCGTTCTATAATTATGCAATTATGTTATAAACATTGGGGAGAAATCCTAATGCCTACCATTATGAATTATGGCTTTTAAAATGACTCAATGAATTGCTGGCAACCTGATTTGTACCTTTCATACAGATATTCGAGAATTCTACCAAAAGAAATTGACTGATAGTGTGGGAGCCATTGAAGGTGAGTGGAATGTGTACAGGAAAAGCAGAAGAATTTGAGATCACTGTGTTGTATGTTTGTGCAACTTTCTAATAATTAGATTGCAATTTCTGCCACCCTTGTCTGTATTCTGATACCACGTGTACATTTCTTCTAAAAATTTGGAGTTTTACAAATAACCATGCATGTTCTATGGTAGAAAGAAAATAATTAGATACCAGGTTAGCTCTTTCAAAAAAAACTAAATTAAGTAAAAACTTTGCATACATTATTATATTGGCTGACACAGGCAATCTGGCCACTGAGGAAATAAACACAAATGGTACTTCTTGTTCATAAGTCTTAGATTTGTTCACTATGCATTCTTAAGCAGTGCTTAACCAGCCAGCTAATGAAAACCAGATCAGGAAAGTTACTCTGGATGTCATCCTGGTGTTGATGTCTCTGGCACAGCTGGGCAGACTTCCCTGGGCCTTGGTCTTTGTGTGTTAGAATCATTATAAGGATCTGAATGCATTGCCTTTAAGACAGTAACTAAAGTTTGCTTACATTCTTTTTCTGTAGGAGAGGATATTGATGTTCATAAACTGGAGTCTGTTTTGCAAACTATGGATGTAAAACTTTCAGAAAATCAAATGAGTGACCTAATGAAAAACCTGCAAGTTGATGGTAAGATATAGTGAGATTGCCTGTGAACGTCTGATAACAGTAACATTTCCACAAGAACCCCTGAAGTTCTTAGTTTTCAATAAGATATTATTTAGACAAGAGTAAGACAAGAGCAAGTTCCATCTCTTGATATTAAAAGTTACGTTTCAGCAATTTGATTTATCTCTATTGGTAATATGATTGTATCTACTATTGCTCCAAAGGTTTAAGGAAAAGACAACTTTGAGGATGTTCCATGAGATGGACATAAATAGAAACAATTTAAATTCAGAAAATTTTAAGAAGATAGAGAAAACATTGCCAAGAGTGAAAAAAAAAATATTTCTTTATTTTACATCCTGATTGCAGTTTCCCTTCCCTCCTCTCCTCCTCTCCTCTCCCTTCCTTCTTCCCTCTCCCCCCACCTATCCACTCCTCTGTTTCTATTCAGGAAAGGGCAGACCTCCCATGGATATCAACAAAACATGGCTTATCAAGTTACAGTAAGACTAAGCACCTCCCCTTGTATTGAGGCTGGGCAAAGCAACCCAGTGTGAGGAATAGGGTCCCAAAAGCCAGCAAAAGTGATAGAGACAGCCCCTGCTCTCACTGTTAGGAGTCCCACAAGAAGACCAAGTTACACAACTGTCCCATAAATGTAGAGGGACTAGGGCAGTCCCATGCAGGCTCCCTGGTTGTCAGTTCAGACTCTGTGAGCTCCTATGAGCCACGGTTAGTTGATTCTGTGAGTTTTCTTATGATGTCCTTGACCCCTCTGGCTCCTATAATCCTTCCTCCCTCTCTTCAACAGGATTCCCAGAGCTTGGCCTAATGCATGGCTGTGGGTCTCTATATCTGTTTCCATCAGTTACTGGATGAAGCCTCTCTGATGACAGTTGGGCTAGGCACTACTTTATGAGTATAGCAGAACATCATTAGGCATCTGTCGCGCCGGCATGGCAATTGGGCCCGAAACCTGGCGAGGGAAGTTGGGATGAACACAGCACACACCAGTCAAGTTGCAAGCATCAGGACTGTCTTTATTCTTTCTTCCCCATCTTATATACCCTTTCAGGAGGAAACAAACAAAATTGTTAATCAAGCACCCAGGGTCAAGGAACGGTCAGCGTGCCCCAAGGAAACCACAGCTGCCAAACCACGAGATATACCAAACAGCAAAACATCTGCAGAACAGCCTGACCTCAGCACACTCAGAACAGGGGAGGTGGGGGCAGTCTTAGAGGGGTCAGAGCCATTCTGATCCCAACAGGCATCATTACATTGATTTTTTTTTCTCTAGTTGTGCTTGGTTCTATCCTATGTCTCCAGCTTCTGGGTCCTGGCACTCCATGCAGTGTCAGGCATGGACTTCCTCTTCTGGCATGGATCTCAGACTGGACCAGTCATTAGTTGGCCACTTCTTCAATCTCTGTGCCACCTATACCCCAGCACATTCCATAGGCAGGACAGACTGTAGGTCGAAGGTTATGTGGCTGGGTTGGTGTCTCAATCCCTCCATTGAAAGTCTTACCTGGTCACCGGAGATGGCCAGTTCAGGCTCAGGCTATACATCTGCTATTCCTAGGAGTCTTAGCTGGAGTCACCTTTGAAGATTGCTGGGAATTTCTCTTGCACCAGGTTTCTACTTTACCTCCAAATGCTGCCCCCCTTTCCAGTTGTCTCTTTCAGTATTCTCCTCCTTCATCCCCCACCCCAACCTGATCCCTCATGTTCCCATCCCCACCTGCCTTCAGTCTACCCATGAAATCTTTCTATTTCCCCTTCCCAGGGAGGTCTGAGCATCCCCCCGCCCTGTACCCTTTTTGTTTCCTAGCCTCTTTGGGTCTGTGGATTGTAGTATAGTTATCTTTTACTTTGCAGCTAATATTCACTTATGGGTGATTATATACTATGTTTGTCTTTCTGGGTCCGGGATACCTCACTCAGGATGATTTTTTTTCTAGTTCCATCCATTTGCCTGCAAATTCATAATGTCATTGTTTTTAACAGCTGAGTAATATGCCATTGTATAAATGTACCACATTTTCTTTATCCATTCTTCAGTTGAGGGGCATATCTAGGTTGTTTCCAGGTTCTCGATGTTACAAATAAATCTGCTATGAACATAGTTGAGCAAGTGTCCTTATGGTATGATTGAGGGTCCTTTGTGTATATGCCAAAGAGTGGTATAGTTGGATCTTCAGGTAAGTTGATTCCCAATTTTCTGAGGAACTGCCGTATTGATTTCTAAAGTGGCTATACAAGTTTGCACTCCCACCAGCAATGGGGGAGTGTTTCCCCCTTGCTCCACATTCTCTGCAGCATAAGCAGTCATCAGTGTTTTTGATCTTAGCCATTCTGACAGGTGTAAGATGGAATATCAGAGTCGTTTTGATTTACATTTCCCTGATGGCTAAAGATGTTGAACATTTCTTTAAGTGTTTCTCAGCCATTTGAGATTCCTCTGTTGAAAAGTCTCTGTTTAGATCTGTACCCCATTTTTAATTGGATTATTTGGTGTTTTTTTTTGATGTCTAGTTTCTTGAGTTCTTTATACATAAAGAAAATATTAGAATATATAATTTTTCTTAAAATATTATCCTTTCAGGGATGGAGAGATGGCTCAGTTATAAAGAGCACTGGATGCTCTTACAGAGGACCTAGGTTTGATTCTCAGCACCCATATGGTGACTCACAACCATCTGTAACTCCAGTTCCAGGGTATCTGACACCTTCTTCTGACTGCCTTGGGCACTGCATGTATATGGTGCACATACATACATGCTAGCAAAACACCCATACACATACAATAAAACAAATAAGTTGAAAAGATGTTATTATCCCATCCATCCCACCTATTACATGGACCAAATGAATGAGAAAGGAATGAAGCATTTCTTAAATCCTTCCTTTTCTACTTGAAAAGTTCAAGAGAAACTTATAGACCCATTTTCCTAACTATTAGCATGTTTGTGTGTCTAGCCATTCTAAGGTAAGGTTAAGATGAACTAGAAAAAAAGTACTAGGACAATGTGAAAAAATAATACAGTGTCTTCACCATAGATGCCTGTCTGAGACATGTGACTTTTTCGGACAGAAGGTTGATATACAGCTGAGGATGTCACAAGCAATTCCCCTAGAATCCCAGAGAAGTGGCCTGGGCACTTAACTGTGTTCTCAAAGCAGTCCTGTCCCAAAAAAACAAAGGCTCTTTGCCTAACATAGAGTGATTCTCAATACTTGTGATTGAGTCCAGTGAGCAGAGTGTATCTATTCTGATTGGTCTTGATTTCCCAAGTTTACCAACTTTACAGTTTTAACTCTTCATCATTATAAGTAAATGATGCTTGTTGTTTTCTTTCTTTCTTTTTTTTAACAGATAATGGAAAGACTTCATTCAGTAGTTTGTTGGATTCTGTCACAGCAGTTGTAGGTTAGTAAGAAATTTACTAAGACTGGGGTGCAGCCCAGTAACAGCTCTTGTTACCATGTGCACACACACTGTTCAACTCCAAGAATCACGAAAACAAAGCAAAACAGTTCAATGAATCCATCTCTGGCCATGCTGCTTACTAAGGAAATGCATTTGTTTAATTGTCTAGATTTGAAATGTAAACGATCTGCATTCCAACGGCAAATGTTTTTTAAATACTTCATAACAATATTTTAACAAGTTTCTATTCTCTGGAGTATGTCCTACAAATTTTGCTTTATGTTTGATATAGACTATATACGTTCTTAACACATTAGATGAAGTACAACAAAAAAAGTAGTCAATTCACAATGAAGAAAAATCACCCAAACACTCTGCAATGAATAAAATGTTCTGTATAAACCCCAAATTCTTACCTGTCTATGTTTCCAATGTTTGAAGCAAAAGATTTAGGTATTGAAGACAGGAAGAAAGTTCCAGAAGATGTAAAGTCAGAACACAGGGATAAAGTTAAACGAGAGAGCATGAAAAGTCAACAAGCTGATGGTAAGCACTCATACTGTAGCACAGCCAACAAGGACTTATAATTGTGCACATTTGTGAGGAATTTATGTATTGAGAAATATAAAGGTTTTTAACTTTTCAATATTTACCCACTATTATATAAATAAAATCCAAGCTTTCACATTATATTTTGGTTTATGGATAATCTGCCTTTTTGGTCTTTCAAGCTGCCAGTAGGACAAAGAATTGTCGTAATTTATTGGGCTTTTTTTTTTTATTTAGGGCTTTTTTTTTTTTTTTTTTTTTTAAGAAGGGTTTTCTCTGTGTAGTTCTGGTTGTCCTGGAACTCACTCTGTAGACCAGGCTGGCCTTGAACTCACAGAGTTCCGCCTATCTCTGTCTCCTGAGTGCTGGGATTAAAGGTGTGAGCCACCACCACCTGGTTCTACTCAAATTTTAATCCAGTGAGAGAATATCCTTAAGATAATAAGGAGGAATGGAGAGATGAGAAATCAAAATGGATGAGAATTTCTCAGAAGTTTAGAAAATAAGAAATCATAAAGAGTGTTTTCTGCAGAGTGCCAGCCTTAAATGCTAATGTCTGAGTAGAATGACTGAAATAAGTCTTTCTCCATTCTACTGTATTAACATTTTATTTGAATATGACTTGAAGTGATTCTGTGACAAATCATAAGGTCTCAACTTCTGAAATCATATTTTTGATGTACAACCCAGCTGATGTGCCAATCACTCTTTGTGCCTGTTTCTGTAGCAGTTGCCAAAGCCTCAATGGGGGTTGGAACTTCCAGATCAAAACTGGAATGGCTACCTACTATGTGAGGTGTTTACCCACCACCCCCACAGTTCCCCAGAGTTTTCTTGAGTGTGAGCAGCAGGAAATATTAGATAGAAGGATTTATTGCAGAGAATATCGCAGAGATAAACAGATAGAAAATAAAGGATAGCCTCGAGAGGGCCTGGAACCTATTCCAACGGGCCCTGACTGTCTCTGGTCCAGGGTTTTTATAGAGACGCCAAGGGGTGGAGCAAAAGACCTCCTCCCCCAGCACAGCCAAGTGCAGACCATCTCAGACACCTGCACTCAGGCCCGGTGGTCCTGATCATCCTCTATTCGGACCTGCTGGGTAAAGCCACGAGGAACCTGAGAACAAGCTCCCACACCACTACAATTTTGTATTCTAGATTTATGTCTAATACATTCTTTTTAAATTAACTAATAAGTTAAGTAAATAGTAGTGCATGTGCATGTATGTGAAGGTGGGTGTACTTGTCCAAGTGGGCATGTATGGAAGCCAGAGGTTGGTGTTCAGGGTCTTCCTCAATTTCGTGTGTGTGTGTGTGTGTGTGTGTGTGTGTGTGTGTGTGTGTGTGTGCGCGCGCTGTGTCAGAGTCTCTCACTGAACCTGAAGTTCATTGATTTGGCTGGACTGGCTGTCAGTGGGCCCCTGGTATCTTCTTGTCTCTGCCTACCAGCTTTTAGGTTATGAGATTGGGCTGTAGCTTTCATATGGGTTCTGAGATTCAAATTAAATTCCTTATGTTTGTGAATCAAGTGCTTTTACCCATGGAGCCACCTCTGTAGCCCATATACTCTTTTTAAAAAGTATCCATTGTATTACTTGCTTATATTTGAAGCAGCATTTCTTTATGTATTCCTGCTTGGCTTAAAATTCTTTATGTAGACTAGACTGGCCTCAAACTTGCAGTGATCCTTATGACTCTATGTCCCAAATATTGGGAATATAGGCATACACTGCTACACCAGCCTTCCAATATATTTTTTTATTTTTGTCAAGAAAAGAAAATGAAAGTCTTTGTCCAAACTTTTAACTTTTAAGTATAAAGGAAGAGCATTGATTGGATTTTTTTCTTTTAGTTAATCTATATATTATTTTTCACAATCCTATTATTTATTTATACTGTTGTTACTTCCAAAACATAATAACAACTTGAAAATTAATAATACAGACAGATTGCATGCCTGATTATGTTTATTTAAAGGTTTTACATTTGTAGCTGATTTGTGTTGTGTGTAGGGATAGATGCATACAATGTATGGCAAGCATGTGGAACTCAGAGAACAACTTGTAAGCATCACGTCTCTCTACAATGAAGGTTCTAGAGTGGAAAGCAGCCTGGCCTACAGGAAAGTTCTAGGATAGCATGTGCTACATAGAGAGACCTTGTTTCAAAAGCAAAACAGAACAAAACATAAATACAGTAACAACAGAAAACAAATAACGAAAAGAACAACTCATTTCTCAGTCATAGAACTATATACACAGAAATGGTAATCAAGTGAAAGATGTGTATCAAGAAGTAATACTTTGCCAGCTCCTCACAGATCTTCCCATTGCATCCTAGCACCAGCCATATTCCTTAACACCAAAGAAAGCCCCTAACTTCAATTATAACAAATACTTTCTTTGCTTTTCTTGTTTTTCCACATATATTTGTATCATTGGATAGTATAGCTGTTTTCTGATTTTTAACACTATAAATTGAGTTATACCATATATATTCCATTATGTCTAACTTTACACCAACCCCATATTAGATACAGCCGTGTTTTCTTTTTTTATTATTATGATCCCTCCCTCTATAAATAGTGATTATATTATAATACCCTGTATTATATTACAAATAGTACAAATACCCTGGTGCCCTGGAAGCATGAGTTTCTAGAGTACATGTTTGGGACTCACATTGCTAATGCTTATGTAGCATCACTTCCGTTTGACCAGAAGTCATATACCATACTGCTTGTATGAAACTTACTGGTACTTCTAATCTGTTCTAAAACTTATACTGTCTTTCAAACCTCTGCCAATCTGATGCATGTGTTACTGGTATATGGCTGTGGTTTTAATTGATATTTTTGTAATTACTAAGAAGAGTGAACATCTTTTTGTATCTCAATGGCCATTTGCATGTCTTCCTTATGATTACTTATCTTTCTTCAGACTGTGTTATGAAAAACATACATCTTGTCAGGATCCTGTCCTTGTTACTATGTATTAGAAATACCTTCTTTCATTGTCTAGTCTTTTACTCTCAGTGGTATCTTGATGAATAGAAGTTCTTAATTTTATGGTAGCAAAATTGAATCAATGTATTTTGCTATTCCATTTTGATGAAGCCTTCTCTACTCTGAAGCTTTTTTCATCCGTTTTCCTTGTAAAATCTTTATAATTTATCCTTTTACCAGCTCATTGATGTCCCTGGAATTAGTGAATATAAAGTAAGGTAATTTTAATAATTTTGCATGGGTATCCATTTGTGATAGCAGCATGTCTATAATCCCAGCTCTTGTGAGCTTAAGACAGGAGGCTCATGTGCGCAAGGACGGCGTGGACAACATTGAAAGGACACACCCTACTTTGTCTTACTCTTTAGGAATTTGTTCTACTGCTTTAAAATTTTAGAAAAAATTTTTTGGTTGAGGTATTCATGTACACATTAGGTAGTGATCAGCTAGCATCATGTCCAGCGTGGGCATACATATACACACATATAAATGCATAAGACACACAAACACACATACATAAGGCTTATACCATCCTTGTTGATATACATATGCCATCTCTGTCATTAATTAAATACCCATAAACAAATGAGAATCATTCCGTCTCATTTATTCTCAGTTGGAAGGTGTGGCCTTTAAGGTTGCAGGAGTCAGCTGCACACCTTTGCCTTTGCTCCCTTCACTACATGAGATCATCAGCATCAAAGACCAAACTGGGGTTCAAAACTTGCCATCAGAACATATTTATGGCGGCCTTCACCTCCTGGGCTCCTGCTTTCTAATAGCTTTGGGGATGGTCTTTCCTACCCCTTTGTCCACTCTTTGTTGCTTAGGAGGACATGCTTTGATCATTTTGTCCATTGTTGCAGTTTCAGCATTGATCTAAAGGAATTTGTTAGTGGGTTTTAATTAGCAATAGAGGTGTATAATTTGGAAGTTCAGAAAGCTAAATTAAGTGCTACCCATCATCACCACTAGTTGACTCACTTTAGCCTTTTTTTTTTTTTAGATGATTTGGCAGTTGCTTAACCATGTAGAACATTTTTATTCTAATTCCAACAGCATTATGGACCCTATCTCCTATATATGAACAGGCTATTGAGCCTTGATCTTTCTCATGAGATTTATAATCATAATTCACAGTAGTATTAATGGTTATATTACAGCATCAATGATTTTCCTTGTATTCTCTTTTTCCTAAGAATGGACTCCTGCTTCCAAAAAATTGGATAGTCTTTTACAAAGCATGGGAATCAACCTTGCAGAAGAGGAAATTAATGACCTGCTACAAAATCTGCCAGTTGAAGGTAAGCATTAAGATAGCTTTAGATTTTTTTCAGAGAATATGTACTTCTAGAAAAGGATCTTTGAACACTTGTCATTAAGAAGACACAAAATATGTTAGAAAATTTGGCCCCAAAGTGAATGTGGTTTTTGGCTCTTGAGCTTTTCTTTAACTTTATTTTTATTTTGAGTGGGAGTATGATCAATGTCACTGCTAGACTTGGGCTGAATTAGAGAGACACAATGCTGCTGAAGAGAAAGGATATACACAGGACGAAAGCAGCGAAAAATAGAACAGAGCCAAAAGGGAGGAATTTGTAAGTAGCACTTTTACTCTGAGTTCCCATCATCATTTTCAGGGACATTTAAGAGACAGAAGGGTTGAGGCGTCATAAGAGATGTTAGACTCCTTTCTTACATGAGATGAACAGCGTTCTCCAAATATCTCACAAGGACCCTGAATTCAGGCCTGAGTGAATTGCGTACTCATGGCTGCTTATGCTTTAAGTTTGTACTCTCATATTTCTAAGCGAAACTCCATGGCCCAAAGACTGTGTTCCCAGACAACTAATCTCCTTTGGTGAGCTAGAGATAAAGTCCAAAATCTAGTCGAATTGGGAGTAAATTAACTACCAAATCAAATACGTAAAAGTTAAATATGTTAACCTGAGGATATTTCAGTGGGGGCTGTCTCTATGAAACATAGCCCAACAAACTTATGATCTTAGACAATACTTGCTCGTGTTGTTAAAGTTGCATCTCATTCTGTCACTGTAAAGGGTGGGCAGTGTTCTCTAAAATGTGTTTTTGTTTATTCATTCTTTAAGTTTTATTGTTTTTGACCTGTCAGACCAGTCTCATTTAATTATTTCCTTCGCTTGCAGTGAGTGATACAATCACTAGAAAAACTAAGTCTGGATGTGATTCCATCAATTTCTAAAACAGAAAACTACTTTTAAACTCATCGGTCTACCTGAAATTATGATAGAGTTGCTCTTTCTCTTACTGACACAACATGAACAGAATTATGAGGGAAAATATGTACCTATTGTGTAGAAACATCCTCTGTCTAGCCTTGCCACTGATTCTAATTCATTTTCAAACAAATTAAGGTCAACCAAGGCATGTTAGAAAAGATTGTTAGACAAAGAATGGCCATGTAGAATGAATGTACCTTTATTCTTCTGAATCAGCGTTTTAGTTTTAAATACTGCTTAGTGGTAATCTGATCATTTGAGGTGTTAGCGTTAGGATGCTGCGAAGTACGTGTAGTGAAGCCTCCTGAAATACTGGCTCAAACTTAGATCCCCGATGAAGTGAGAGATACAGAAGGACCTTGAACTTCACATTTGTAGTAACACTTAACACATCAAAGAGATGTAAGTTATTAGAGAAGGCCACGTTGGTCTGCAATGCACCCTGCATTTTGTAGTCTTGCCTCTCTGTTTCTGAAAACTGCCAGTGGCTGAGTGAAACACATGTTTTTCACTTTCCCAACCTAGCTGGTTCTACTGTAAAGATAACTTGTGGAATATTCTGCCTTAGTAGGTCCAGAAGGAAAAAAAAAAGAATCTATTTGGCCCAAGTTTAGCCACCTATGAGCAATATATAAGTTTATATATAATAATACATTTTTTTGCTTAACATATATTTCTGTCACTAATATATGCATATATATGTGTACAAATATTATAATTTGACATTTAATAACAGTTACCTCATATTTTAACTAATTCAGAAAATATTTATTGAATTATCAGTCTGCATTTGAAAGTTTTCCATGGCATAAAAATGTTTTATATAATGCTATAATATATTACTTGCAATTTCAAAAAATTAGAAATACTTAAAATAACTTACCAATACTAAAGATATTTATTCTTATGGTAAAATATGACATATGATATATCAAAGATCATCTGTAACATAATTGTTTTCTTTAGTGTATTTTGTATTAATAACTTTTAATTGCTGATTTTATAACTTTGCATGGACTACATATTGTGAAAACATTCTGATAATTAGAATTGAGAGATTGTCTTTAAAATGGTAAGTAGTTTACTCAAGTAAATCAAGTTATCTAGTGAAGTTACTCAGATCTCAGTAGAATAAGAGATAATTTCAACAGTGATGAATGGTGAACTCAATTTTAAATTTTGTTCTTTTTTAGATTAAAAAAAATAGTTGATTCTCCAAAGTCTAAGAATTCAATAAAAAAAGAAGTCACATTAAATTGTACATGTTTGTTATTGGAATTTCATTTTTCCTTATGACAGTATATAAAGTACAATGTTTTAAGAAGCATATTTATAAGTAGTGAGTTTACTTCATGTTACTTCATCCAAGTGTTCTCTGGGGAGGACATAGGCTAAAATTCAGTTGCTAATAAGTGCTTTTGAATTTATTTAATGCTTCAATTTTCTACATGAATGCTATGTATACATTTTCTAACAGTACAAAGGGAAGTGGAAGCACCCCTTTTAAAACTGCACTTGCCTCGCCTTCTTATATATACCCATACAATACTGTACTATACTATACTATACTATACATTACTATACAATACTATACTATACTATACAATACTATACTATACTATACTATACTATACTATAC